GACGTGATTATTATATCAACTTGCGAGCTAAAATAAGTTGTGGCGCCGTTGATCCGCAGTTTTGGTTGTGGTGGTGAGTTGCTGAACCCAATGAATACATTCTGAAGTCGGATGGGTTCAATGGATTAGGGTGCCCCTCTCGCAGGGGAGAGCAGGGAACTGCCTCCAAGGGAAAGGGGGCCGCTGGTGAAGCTATACCACCCTGTAACGACATCATACTCTCTTCAAATACCTCTACCTACCGAGTTGTCTCACATACGGTCGGGCAGCACCTGGTGTTGTTGGACCGCTGGACTCGAGCGAGGAAGTGATGAAGGTACACCAATCTAGCACTATCGCTGTAAAGGGAAATGTCTTGTAGTGTTGCTGCATCGCTGGTGAAGCAAAAATAGTGTGTCCCTCAGATTGTGATGGTGCGTCCGAAGTGCGTGCGTGTACGTGAGGTTGCATTGCTGTCTCTCTACTGACAACTACATTTCACAGGCAGGCAGACAAACTCTAGCTACCTGTCAACCTCTATAACAAATCTCTCTTTATCATTTCTACCATCGTTCCAGGAAGCAGCAACAGAGGAGCAGCAGATAAGCGCACACCAAAGCTACAGCAATGCTCGCAGAGTAGTGGTATATGTATGTCCGTCATCACTTCCATTAACAAAATATAATGTTTACTGCGGGTACAACACAGCCTGCAGTGGCTTTACTACATGTAAATATTCATACAAAACATGTAAACACTTTCATACAAAAAGGTCCCCACTAGTGTTAAGACCCCGTGGTGGGGGAGGATCCTCCTCCTCCTCCTCCTCCTGCTGCTGCTGCTTCCAAAACACAGCGACCATAACATGATGGTCAATGTGATGCAAAGTACATAAATATCTAGGGCGGCATCTGGTACCTGTTTACCTGATGCCTATACGTCTGCCTCGCCATCCATCTGCCTTACACTCTCCACCTTCCGCTGCCTCTCATATCTCTGTTCGTATGTCTGTTAGTTGTAACCTGTATGTACGTCAATCTGCTGCCTGTGCGTCCATCTATTTCGTCGGCTGCTTGCCCGTTTGTCAGTCGGCCCATTAGGACTAGGACATCTTGACAGTGGCGTGGGGCGCAGGTCCCCGTAACACCATCCTCAGCACACTTCGTACAGCTGAATCGCAACCCGCGCTTGGGCCTCCAGCTCCCCACCCTGGACTCGACCCCAGTCCAGGCGCTCCTCTGCGCAGGGGGCCCACCCCTAACCACCCCCCACAGCCCCCATAGCTATCCCCCCTTGACGACGGCACTGATATACAACCACCCTCCCCGACCCCCTCACCCACTCCGTCCCCAAGGGATAGGGTTCCCCGGCCCCTACGGACCCCTGGGAGACAGCCGCAGCACCTCGTCCCCATCATCATCATCATCATTCTGGGTGCGCTCCGGAACCCGCCTGCCTGGGCCTGGAAACCACCACTACTACCACTACCACCACAACCACCACCATCATTCCGGTGAGCTGCCAGTCTTACACGCTCCATGTCCTCTTCCACTCCGGGTGCACTCAACGTCACTGCAGCGGGACTGCTACTGGTACTGCTACTGCTGCCAGTGGTGCCGGCAACTACTGCTACAGCAGCGGTACTACTGATAGAGACAAATGCAGCCCCACCCTGGCCTGGCAGCACCTGCCGGGTTTCAGAGCTCGGGTTGGGTTCGAAAGCGGCGGGCTCTTGCTTCGACTCTGAGGTGGTCGCAGCGTCCATGCTCGCGGGGGGTTGTTGCCTGGGGTCCTCAGGCGGGGTGTGATGACATCGAAAGGGCCGGGGGCTGTCCAGAGGGTACCTGCAGGAGGGCGACAAGAGGGAGGCAAAGTACGGTCAAAGCGAGGGCAGGTGCACTCAAAATTTGCTTTAATGTTTCTTAGGGGGGCGCTTACGTGAAAATGGAAAGAGATATGCATGGGGGCACGTATGGGGTTGCGGGTGGGGGTTGGAACAGGAGGGAACGTTGTGTGGCGGAATGGAGGTTTACTTTTCAACGGGCTGACTCAACACCGCGGGCCGCCCGCAGCTCAAGGCCGCCCAGGAGCAACGGAGCTCGATCACAACGGAGTTGCACAGAACAGTTGAGTGCACTCCAAAAGGGGGGAAAGACGAACCACACACGAATGAAGCTGCTGCCAGGGCAAGAGAAAGGAAAAGGGGGGGTGGAAAATCCAGGGGGACGTCCACGGCCCCCAAACCCAAACATCGCCCAGGTTTACCCCGACAACAACCTAAACTCATCGCGGTCAGCTACATCCAAGTCACTTGCCTTTTGACTTCCTTAACCCCCTCAACACAAAACACCAACACTACTACAAAACACTACTTCTCCCCTCTCCCCCAAAGAGAAAGGAAGGAGGGAAAAACAGAAGAGAGAACACCTCATGACCCTCACACCCCGGCACGAATGCCAACCCCCAAAAAGCTGTGTATTGTACGGTACACCATAAGGCCCCCCCTCACCTCCAGGACCCATCTCCGTACACTCGAGCCATCAATGCGGCCAGCCCTGGGTCCCTCTGCTGCAGCTGCCCCCGCGTGTTGACACCCGAGGTGACGTCCGTACGAATGGTGGCGTCAAACCAGGCCTGGACAGGGCCGTGTCCATGGCAGTGTCCGTGTCAGTAAAGGTGTGTTGGTGATTCCGAGGCGAGGAGGTGACAGGAAGAGGCGGCCGCAGCAGCCCTCTGAAAGGGGGCAGAGGAGAGGACGGGCCAGGGTCCCCCAACATCCCCGACACGGGGTCCCCCTGCCCTCACCACGCAAGGTGATATATATATATATATATATATATATATATATATATATATATATATATATATATATATATATATATCAGAGCGATAGACCCGAATAGCATCCGTACACATCATAACTATTTACTGACATTTTGTATTAATAAACAAAACTTGCTCTCTCCCTTTTTCCCCGACCAGCCGACCAGCCGAGCCCACACCAAACAAAGGAAACTCACGAAAGGGTCAACATGGCCCCCTCTCGATTTGATCTTCCACATGTCCTGTCATGAGCACCACCCACCTGTGTCCCCTCGGCCCAGTACTCGTCCTCATTCTCCATGATGTACGCCCCTGCGCGCGCGTGTACGCGTATGTATGTAAGTATGCAGGCACGTTATGTAGGTTATGTATGTATGTATGTATATATGTACGCACGTTATGTAGGTTATGTATGTATGTTATGTACGTTATATATGCATGTTAAATGTCTGTATGTATGAAAACAAGGGCAACCGGGGACATAGTGATGTGACCCAGGGCCAGGAGGAAGACCGCCAACTCGGATTATGTGCGCCGGGAGGGCAGTGAGAGAGTAGGCGTCTGTGCGGGGTCGGGCTGTGCTAGGGAGCAGGGGATGGGGGTTGGGTGCGCGGTGCAACCTGCCAGGGGTTGGGGACTCCAGCTGACGGTGTTGGTGTCGTACATGCCGTACATGTCGTACATGCTGCATGAGTGGTGAACCCAGCCTTATCAAAAAGCACGTGGGCTAACCGCGGGGTTGGGCCCGGGGGGATCTGAGTGCGGGTTGTGGTTGTGCGGGAAGACTTGGGTGGTGACGGGAGATTGCCAGGAGGGAGGGAACGAGATGGAGAGGGGCGCTGTAAAAGTACGGCCATGAGAAGATCAACGGGCGGGCAACCGTACACTGCTGGGTTGCAGGAGATGAAGACACGGCACTAAAAGGCGCCGCGTGTGTGTACGTATATCTGTATGATGTGTGAAACAGGGGGGTGTATCTTCGCCCGTGGCAGCTACCCTGCGAAACCCTGCCTTCCCCGGTATTTCGGGGCACCCTCATCCAGTCACCCTAGTCAACTTCTCAGTGGATCGCTCAGGTTCCGCACCCACCACCAGCATCCAACGGAATCTGCCGGGTCGACAGCGGCCCAACTCCATTCCTGGTCGGCTCGCAGGTTAACTTTATCCCAGGTCACCACCGTCTATCAACTAGGGGCGCAATGCCGTTCACCATCGGAAGGACTTTTGACCCTAATGGGTATCGATCCCGGGATCTCCCGGGGGCAATGGTCGCGCCTTACCAGTAGTGCCAAACCCTAATTTATATATCTGTATGTATGTGCTAACATCACCGCGCATCAGGAAAGACATCGATAGTACGGCAACTGTGGTGGGTCGGCGGAGGGGGAAAGGGGAGAGACAGGGAGTGGTAGAGACAGACAGATAGACAGACAGCACGCACCCTTGTCGTACAGGCCGCTTCGGTAAGCTTTGTTGTACAGTCGCTTTACGGCGGCTCTGTCCTCCGCGGCCAGTCCCATGTTCATCACCGCGTGCCCGAACTCGTGCACCAGAATGTTCTCCGTGGGGTAGAACCTGGGGGAAGAGAAGGGAGGACAACCTCGTACATCTGCCTGTCTGTCTGTCCGCATGTCTGTCTGTCTGTCTGTAGGAACAAATAAGGTTATTCACAACCGGATCTCAACACACCGGATCTCAACACAGGGCCCACTTGGCCCAATATCCGGTGGTGCCGCCGGGGCAGTCACCATCACCATCATCATCATCGTCACTCCAGGGAAGGGGCGCTGGCGGAGCCCCGAAGTGCTTGTTGCTGCTGTACAGGTGCGAGCGCACCGTACCAATCCCCCTACGGCACGGTGTGCTCGCCGTGGGGCTGATGCACATACTGGCTCCCTTCCCAAACGCACACACACGCACACACACTCCGGGGCCCCCGAGGCCTTCACCCCGCTGCCCCCCTCCCCCGGGTGCAGTGGGGGGAAACTGCGTGCCCCCCCCCTTGACCCTTCCATCGAGACACTGGTGTCGGAAACTCCATCGTGCATTTTCCCGCCAAACATACGTGTACTCGACACGTGTGTAACCCGGCGGGTATTTCCACCCCCCACCCCTCCCGTCTTCTCCCCCCCGCCCCACCTATCATCCTCCATAAGCAGGTTCTCCCCCCCGCCCCCACCTATCATCCTCCATAAGCAGGTTCTCCCCCCCGCCCCCACCTATCATCCTCCATAAGCAGGTTCTCCCCCCCGCCCCCACCTATCAGGTAGGACTTCCAACTTCTACGCCAATTCTTCATCCCGAGGTTACAGTCGTCATCCCGAGGTTACAGTCGTCACATTCGCCACGGACGCCTTTCGGTCAGTTCTTTCGGTTGCTACTATCTTGCTCTGGCAGCAGCTTAAATCGCGTGTGGTTCGTCTTTCCCCCACCTATCATCCTCCATAAGCAGGTTCTCCTCCCCGCAGCTGGTGGTAGGGCTCTCCAGGGTGCCCCCCAACCCCCGGGTTGTGGAATCCGTGTCACGGCCGCCTAGGGGGGCCGGGAAGAGGAGGGGCGTTGGCGGGGGTAAGACGAACCACAAACGAGTGAAGCTGCTGCCAGGGCAAGAGTGTACCAGACGTAGAGGGTGAGGGGGGGCGGAGAGGGGGGAACCTAGACGCGGAGTGCGGGGGGTTGGGGCCATGTGCAGCCAAGTGTCAGAAATCAGCTGCCGTACACTGACCGATAAACGCGCACGGGGCTTCCCGGTCCGGTCCCGGTCCCAGTCGGGGTTTTCACCGTAACCAAACCCACGGGCAATAACACACCTCTTCCTGCCCCTCCCGCTCGATGCCGTACACATAGCCATCCACATGTTCCCCGAGAGCGCGCAAACACACATACATACACATTCCTACGGCCTGCAGTTTCTTGCCGTACATACGTGTACAGGTTGTGTAAAGCCGCGGGTTCCCCGGCAACGGGTCACTTGCCTTCCGACCAGCGCAGGAAGGCGTGTGCGGGTATGTCTGTGGTGACCTGGCCCCGCCCGATGATGGCTACACACGCCCCCGCACCCGCCAACCGATCAACCACATCAGAAGGGGAGGCCTCCAGCATCCGCCGTACAATATGCTCGGCGATTCGTACGGCACGCGGATCCACGCATTCGTATGACTGGCGGGATAGGCAAGCACATGCAGTCGGGGTTGGACGGGCCGGGCCCCGGGGGAAAGAGTAGACCAGACGGTGGCGCCTCCCCCGGCCCCCCCCATGTGTCCGGTCCGGAGTGTTGACGGTGAGCGCTGTTGCGAAAACCCCCCAGGGGATCTTCTTTTTCGACAGAGCCGCCCGCTAAGGTGGTGACGGCAGACGCGCCACACGTCACATACATACATACATACACACATGCATACATCCATGAAAACAACTGACAGCTCCACAGTTTACACATGTGAATACAATCCCCGCACCCGCACCTCACCTCACCTGACCTCACTGTGCCACTCACCCACCCACCCATCCCGATTGGTCTCCCCAACACCCTCAACCCCTCGCCGTCATCCCCCCCCCCACGGGCACACCCGTGTTCGACATTCAGCCGACTATACTTCTGCTGCATACCCTCCATCCTTACAAATGCTCCCCCGACCTTTACCCTTCTCCCCCCCCACTTGTCCTCCAATTCTATCTGCTTCACATGTGCATGCTGCCATCATGGCACCCACTCCTCCATACACACACGCAAACGCACCCGCGCCTGACACGCCGGTCACATTACCTGCTCGCCGACAGCGTCACCTGAGTGACACACCCTTTAACACCCACCCCGCATCAGCCCAGAGTGGGATCCCCCAACCCAACCACCCACCCACGAAAAGGGGGGCCCCCACTCACCCAGATTTCAATGCCCAGCGCCTCCCCCCGTTTGCAGTAGCTGCCCCACTCGGGTCGGGGTGGCGGGGCGGTGGCGGACCAGGGGCTGATGCGGAGGGGGCCCGCGGAGGGCACCTCAAGCAGTGCGGAGGGGCCTAGGGGCAGGGGAGGGCCAGAGGGTAGGTGCGGAAAAGGGGGAGAAGGAAGGTACGGCAAGCCGGGGGAGGGGCACCGAACCCGCCACTACCCACCCACTCAGCCCCCGAGAGTGTGCCCTCAGAAGCGCCATCCCGGGTTTGTGCCTGGGCGACCAGCACGGTCGGGGTATGGAGACCCCTTCCGCACTTCCCCTAGCGACCGTTACGTGACGAATGAACAGTGGGGACGAGCTAACCTGCGTATTCGCCCACCAGAGTGTCCGTGTCTGCGAAGCGGATGCGCCACAAGTGTGTAGTGTAGGTCTCTGCGGAAATCGGTGTGACACGCGGGTGGTGGGTCTGTGTGGACGAGCAAGTAGGCCGCGGCGCACGCGATTCAGCCTCGGGACATCATCCTTACGTTGTGGCCTGGCATGCCCCGGTTCGAGCTCCATGTAACAGGCTTCCTTTGCGTCGAAGCCGACCCATACCACCTTTACCCGACAATTGGATTTATTAACGACGCGCAGGACGCATTCTTCGGTCTTGCCGTCCTCATGGGTGCTTCGGACTGCCATTTCTAACAGGCACGCCTAAGCGTTGCACGCAAAGCAAACCTGAAATAGAACTTTTTTACGACATTTTAAACATCTAATTGTCAAACTCTTACTGAATACCTCGCGTGAGTATGCTTCCGACTCTTCTAACTGTAGCTTATGGCTGGGCTGTATAACAAAATACGGGATGCGTGGCGAAGTGCACTTCTGCGTACGGCTTGCGACTCGCAAAGTCGCAAGCCGCAAGAAATCGCAAGATTTCCCCCATCTTTACACGCGAACACATATGTGATTCAGTTTTCCTCGCCTGTAGGGCGGATCTTACAATCGGAGAAGTATTAAAACAATATTACTACAGTAGACAAATGCGCGAACGTGCTTGCCACCCATATTTTGACGAGAAGTACACACAAGCACAGAGAGCTGAAATTTTCGAGCACAGACCTTGCGAGAGAACTTTGCACACAATGACACGTTTTTACCACTGGTAAGCGAACGGCGATGTCCTACCGCTTAGAGGACATCAGGTGACACGCAAACTAACCACGAAAGCTGGATGAAGTCGCTGCACAGGCGCTTGCAGAGCTGGTGCAAGCCGATGCTGGTGCTCGAACTGGAGGCGGTTCAGCTGCATCTAGGTAGCAGCCACGGAAGGCGATGTATTTAGTACAAAAGCCGCTGCTGCGGTCCGCTAAGCGAGGCACGAATGCATGTCAGGCAACTGGGGAAAGCAGTTAGCTTTGGAATCCCGCAATGGCGGCCCGTCGAACTGAAGGCGATACGTGTTCGTGAAGGTAGCAGTTGGGAAAGGCCATGCATGTAGGATTAAAGCAGCGGCAGTGGTTCATTCCTGCTCACTGAGAACAGTTAGTCAGAGGCTGCTCTCCTGACTGAATGCGGGGGCGGGGGAGGGGACACAACCAAGAGAAGTGGTGATTCAGACTAAGACTGGTTGCGTAAGGTTGTAAAGATCAGCACCAGGGAACGCTCGGGGACAGCAGAAGACAGCGTGCGGGTTGAGAGTTCCGCCCCGAGAAATAGAGAATGCGATTATTACAATGGACCCCGAAAGTGTCGAGTGCAACGCTCCTAGGAACGCCTCCCGCACAAGGCTGTGGGCCTTATTCAAAAAGAACTCGGCCAGGCCGTACTAACTTGAATGGACATCCTCAGCTAATACGCTCTGACAATAAAAGTCGGGCTCAGACTGACACCTCAGACCTCCTCCATGTATTCCGGTAAACGGCAAACAACCTTGTTTGCATCGTTGTCTGACAAGAGAGGGTGGTTGTCAGGCACGTGCTTGCAAAGTTTTGGCGGGTTATCCCGGGTCGCAAAAGCAGTTATACGGGCCCAATAGTCGGAGGGAGGAAGTAGAGGGATATTTTAAAAGTAAGTCCTAGGACACGCGGCAGGAGTCGCCAGGCGAAACAGAAGAAGCCTACAGTGAAGCAGGAGCGGGCGATGCCACTAGATTTCCTTGACAGGCAAAGGATTTTCAATACTAGGCTGAAAAGCAGATTCGGCATTTCCTTCTGTGTGAGCCCATTGGGTTTTTGAGGCAGATGCCACTTCAAAGTGTTTACGCTTACGTGTCTCAGCCACAATCGGATATGACAGGCGCGGAAAAGTGAATCACTGATGTGCTCGCGTATAAATATGGGCGATTTCTTGCGATTTGCGACTTTGCGAGTTGCACGCCGTACGCAGGAGTGCAGTTCGCCTCGCACCCGTAATTTAATTTGCAACCAGCCATAAGGCTCCATATCAGTTGTTAAGAGCATCGTTGAAATATGCAGCATCAGGGATTTCTTTTGGGACTTTTCAAATAAAATTTCTTTCCGGGTCTTTCCTCCTCCTATATACAGGAAAAATGTAAAACCCTTGAAATCAGGGAGGGTTATCATAAGCCAAATTTATTATGTGGGAGTCCGCAAAAGCAAAAAAATGATTACCAGATTAGGAAGATGGGTATAATTAATGCCCTGGTGCGAAATTGAGGATCTAAAAGCGAGCGCACGTGGAACATCCATTTGCCCCCTTGATGGCCGTCGCACCTATTCGTTAACATGAATGTTGCAGTCGATATGGGACTCAAGCCGCCACTCTCCGGTTTCTCGACCTGACCGTTGTCGGTTAAATAGCGGTTGAAACCGTTCGCAAGAATAATGGACGATTTGGCAACGGTGGCTTGGAGAAGCGCTGTCAATCTTCCCAACGCGAAGCTTCTGAATCATTAACATCATCTAATGGAACTCATATCGTAAGGCGTAGGAAGCGGATGTACGCACTCTTGCAGATGTGAGCTACAATATTGCCAATGCTCTGATACATTGCCATTATTTCCCGTCATATCCAACATTTGCCATCCTCGTATCGTAAACGTACTGGCAAGATGTTGCACTGGTCGCGTATGTCGTAAGCCCTAAAGCTTTAGCACATCCCAAGCGGTAAATTTTTGACAGCGCCTACGGCGCGATCCATCATTTTGCGATAGCATTACTTTGACCTGTCGTATATCGACTGTCGTGACGTCACTCCCTCGGCCTGCAGTGTTAGTACAGTCCCCCTCATCAACCACAAAGCATATGTCTTCGGTGGTAACATTTTCATACAAGATTTTAACCTTTTTTGCCGCTTCTGCTTTGACTGCGCGGGGGGCATCAACCATGTCGACCTTAGCGGGATGCCAGTTCTCGGCAGGGAGGCTGACTGCAGAGATGAACGCTTCGCGCGTCTTTGCATCAAGTTCATGCTATCAGATTCCAACAAACCTTAGGCGATCGATCGCAGGTGCGTGTAGGTGGCGGGCATTCCTTCGTGATGCGCGGTAGATCAGCTCCACACCCCGAGAAAGCATAATCAATTTGAAGTAGTAATTCCTTATTTTATCCGGATACCTTTGCCACGATTCCCACCAATAGCGGTAGTTGGCCTTATCGTACCTTGTCGATGAATACCTTCCTGCCCATAATAGGATTACCGATAGCATCTGCAGCGTTTCTCTACATCACCTGTTGTGTTAAAAGCTCCTCCACAGCACCAACACCCATCGGTCTGCGCCTGCTCTTGCCCCAGGACGTTCGTTCCTCGGCGACCCCGCTCTCCCCGGTTCGTCTCCACATCTCCACCATCTTATTTCCAGATTCCAACTTCAGTCTCCGTGCTGCTGAACAACTTACCTGGTCCTACTTGCACATATCTGCCGGGCTCAATGAAATGCAATTTGATGTGTATGTTCAGCACTTCGCGGCCCTGCACTTCCCCCTAACCATCAACCTATTCCCCAGTCTTCCCCACACCCCTCTCTTCCCCCCCGCGCAGCCTCCGGCCCCGCCTCCCCCTTGCCCTCCTCCCACCCACTCCTCTCCCCCCATCGAGGATATCGCCGTGTTGCTGCCCACTTCAAGCCCTCCTCCTCTTCTTCCCCCGTCTCCGGCAGCAGCGACGTCAGCAGCCCCGCCGGCGTCAGCAGTATCAGCAGCACCGGCGCATCCGCAGAGCTGCCCATTCTGTCCCCCCTTCCCTCCTCCGCCCCCGGTCCCGCCCCGGGTAATGAGGCCCCGCTGGGTCCGGTGCTGCTGGCGGTGGCGGTGGCGTGTGCGGGGAGCTTCGCCTTCGGATTCAACTTGTCGGTCATCAATGGACCGTTGGAGACCATTGCGGGGGATCTGGGCATTGCGGGGAACAAGGCGCTCATGGGGCTGGTGGGCACGGGGGCCGGGGGGGGGGGGAGGCAGGGAGGCAGGGAGGCAGGGAGGCAGCGAACCTGGACCCCGCTTTCCAGGGCCACCACTGCCATCACCACTGCCACCACCACTGCCATCACCACTGCCACCACCAACACAACCGCCATGGCGGCCCCCAGCGGGTTCCCCCCTTCCCTTCCGGCAGCACCTGGCCAACACTGGTGTTTCCGTCTACCTCCACTATCTGCTTCACTCCTCTCCGTGCTTTGTCTCAACCCCCACCCCTACCCCTCTGTTTTCTCACTCCGCTTTCCATCCTCCACCTCCGCCGCGGAGCCGCGGAGCCAGTTTCCTCTCCCCACCGCGGCGCTAAGTATGTACTTTTAAAGGCGCGCGTGTGTGTGGTGCGCTCCCCTGCGTTGTTCGCCTGGCTGCAGGTGGTGAGCAGCACGCTGGCGGGTGCGGCGCTGGGCAGTCTGGCGGGCGGCGGTGTGGCGGACAGTTTGGGGCGCAGGATGTCCTTTCTGCTGGCCGCAGTGCCCATGATGGGCGGCCCCCTGCTGAGTGCGGTCGCCTCGGACATCACCCTCATGACCCTGGGTCGATTCCTGACGGGAACGGCGATTGGTCTGTCATCGGCGCTGGTGCCCACATACATCAGCGAGGTAGGGGCAGATTGGGGGTGCAGGGGGAGGGAGATGAAAATGGAGGAGTTCGGGAGGGGGGACGGCGCGAGAAGTCGATTTGAAGTCGGTTGTCAGGTCCGCGGGACTGTTTAGGCCGAGCTGGGACGGAGGGGGACCAAGGCCACCTGCTGTGTGTGGGGGGGAAGCTATAGGGGGACAAAAAGGCTTGGCAACGCCTTTCCCTCGTCCCCACTCATCCCGCCAAAAACGGCAGTTGGCAGTTTGTCCTTTGCCCTCCTGTAAATGCGTGCAGTTCTCCATTCTCGTTCCATCTCTCTTCCTCATGGAGGTCTTAAACGTTTCCCTTCCCACTCCGTCCTGCAATCCTCTCCCTCTTCCGTTTTCTCCCCCCAACCCACCATCCCCCCCCAGGTCGCCCCCACCCGCATCCGAGGTACCCTGGGCACCCTCAACCAGCTGACCATCTGCCTCGGTATCCTGGGGGCGCTGCTGGTCAATGTGGTGCTGCCGGCCGCTCAGTGGAGGGCCATGTTCACTGCAGCCGCGCTGCCCGCGGTGCTGCTGGGGCTGGGTGAGGGAAGAAAGGGGTGGGGGGTGGGGTGTGTGGGGTGGGACGGACGAGGGGGGGAAATGACGAGGGCATCGTTGGGATCGGAGGAAAAGGTCGGTTGTCACGTGCCGCCCCACTGAAGCAGCCACCGAAGCAGGTTGCGTACAGTGATGGAGTGGGAAGAGAGCTGAATTCGGGTTGGGCGTGTGTGTGTGTGTGCTCTTGTATGTCTATGCTTTTTTGTATGTTTGTATGTTTGTATGTTTTGTGTGCTTGTGTTTGTGTCACGCTTACCTCCTTCCCATGACGGAGCTCGCGGCCAACCGCCCGTTGTATTGCCAGTGGCCGCTTTCTGTTACATTCCTCTACCCCGCCTTTAATCCACCTCCCCCCACCCTACCTCCTACCTCCTGCGCCCTCCCCTCTCCTCACCCCCCCCGCCCGCAGGTATGCTTCTGGGTCCTGAGAGCCCTCGCTGGCTGGCCTCGCAGCACCGGGACGCGGAGGCGGCGGAGGCGGCCAGGCGGTTGTGGGGACCGCAGGGCCCGGCAGAGCTGGACACATCGCGGACCTCTGCAGCGGCGGCGGCGGCGGCGGCGGCTGCTGTGGACGGCAGCTCCCCGGGTGGGTGGCACGTCCTAGTTTATATATCCTCCATCTTGCCCATCTTCAGAGGGCAATATACCGCCGTCCGCCCCACCGCCTCACCCCTTCCCCCTCCTTTCCCCGCCATCGCTCATCCTGCATAAGATTCTCCGCCCCTCTGCGCCCCGGCCCCCACACGGGAAGATGGAAATGCAGCCGGTTGCAGCAATAACTCTCCGTTCGAGGATTATCATCCTGGACAGCTAACATGATTAGCAAGGCCCCTGCGCAGCCCGAGGATGGCACGTGGCGCACATCGAGAAATGGTTCCAAATGGTTTCGTCCCGGGGGGCCCCCGACTTTTACGGACCCCCCCTCCCCGCACATGCGTGCGGAGCTTGTAACCTGTAACTTGTAACTTACTAACTGTGGTGATATGCGCCTAAACGGGTTGCCTATCCGCCGCCGCCTCCGCACCGCCTCTCACCCACCCCTGGCCCCCGATGGACGGACTGTTAGTCTCATCAAAGCGCCCCGGACTCCCCCCCCTCGGGTCCCATTACTGCTGTCACCATTCCATTCTTCACTAGTACTATGTATATCGCGAGTGTCGCTCACTGTCCAACACTGTCTGACCGACTGACCGACCGACCGACCAACTGACTGACTGAGGCCCCGCAGGTACTGCGGTGGCTCAGCCCGGTGGCTTGGCGCTGCTGAGGGGCCCTGCCGCCCGGCCACTGCTGATCGGGGTGACGCTGTTCGCCTTCCAACAGTTCGCCGGTATCAATGCACTTGTGTACTTCTCCTCGTCGGTGTTCCGGCAGGCGGGTGGTTGTGGGGGGTGCAGGGTAGAAGGGGGGTGGTGAGGGTGACGGCGCGGGTGTGGGTGTGTGTGTGTGCATGGGAGGGTAGTGCATGAGGTTGCAGCTTGGGGTTTTGCATGCGTTCGTCGTATGTATGTCGGTACGTCGGGTTGGGAATGTAAGGAAAACTGCAGATGGTTGGCGTGGGGGTGGGGATTAGTAGCTAGCAGCCCCCTTGCCCCCCTTGGGGGCTTGGAGAGATCCTTCACCCCTTCACCCCCTCCCAACCCGCAGGCGGGTGTCAGCAGTGACGCGCTGGCCAGCGCCGCAGTGGGCGCCACCAACGTCCTAGGAACCGTCATTGCCGCGGGGCTCATGGACCGGGCGGGGCGCAAGCAGCTTCTGGCAAACAGCTTCCTGGGACAGGTCCGTACTTGCCCCCCGGCGCTTGTCAGGATGCATGCACGTACGTACGTACATATGCATGTATGTATTATGTGCCTTGGGGGAGGTATGTTTCTTCGTATATTCTTTCCCCCCACGCTGTCCCGCGGCGGATTGTGACCTCCGGCTGCACGGCACCCACACGGCACCCACACGACACAACGCGGTCAGCGGTCCGGAGCAGTCTTTCCTTGGCAGCAGCTTCACTCGCTCGTGGTCCGTCTTTTCCCCCCCTTCCCCTCTTCTGACCTACATACAGTTCTGGTCTCATCTTGGAGTACCCGTCTAGGAAATGTCTCTCTTCTTTTCGTCAATCGTCTATGCGTCGTCGCACCCCTCTTCCTGTACCCCGCTGCTCCCCAGGCCGCCGCCATGTTCGCCATGGCTGCCGGCTTCAGCCTGCCCGCCCTGCAGCCCCAGGCGGGCACCATCGCGGTGGTGGGCACGCTGGGCTACATCCTGGCGTTCGCGCTGGGAGCCGGACCCGTGCCCGCGACCATTGTACCGGAGCTCAACCCGCTCAGCACGCGAGGTGAGAGGTGGGGCGGGAGGTCCGTGGTACGGCACCCGGGGAAGCGGAGTAGGGAGGATGGTGTGGTGTGGTGTGGTGTGGTGAGCTGCTGGGGCTGTGGGCTGTGCTGTAGGCTGGTGGACGCGGTGGGAGCCGTGAGTGCGGGTTCAGATAGCGGCTGAGTGATAGCGGTAGAGGTGTCGAGGTGGGCTGTTCACTAGAGCACAGCGTTTTTCCGGATGTGGTGGTGGTGCTGCACAGCTGTTGCGCTGGTGGCGGTGGTCACCCCGGGGTGGGGTGGGGGGGCAATTTGGTGGTCCAGGCAGCTCTCTGGTGAAGTGAAGCATGTTGATTAGCCTCATTCGTAGGAGTGCGAGTGGGAGTGGCAGTGGGAGCGTGTATGTGCGTGTGTGCGTGTGCGCGTGTGTGAGATAGAGAAAGAGACAGTTGCCTGGCGAGGTAGACTGGATTAGAGGAGTAAACCGACAGGTAGACTCGTCATCCCCCCCCACCGCACAGCACCCCCGGGCGAAACCCACAGCACAAACCAAACCGCTCTACCCCTCAGTGACTTACAAATATTGCTGGCAGTATACGCCTATCTCTGGTCTCTGCTTCAATCATTAGTGGTTCGTCTTACCTCCAATCCCCCGCTTTGCACGCCGCTCCGATAGGCAAAGCCGTGTCAGCAGCCTTCGTGAGCCATTGGGTCTGCAATGTGGTGGTAGGACAGACCTTCATGTCTGCCGTACAGTCGTACGGCTTGGCCCCGGTGTATACCTTCTTCGGGATCATGGCACTGGCGGGGGCGTTCTACGTGCGTAGCCAGGTGGGCGGGTGCGGGTGTGCAAGTGTGCAAGTGGGTGGGTGTGTGCAAGTGTGGTGTCCGTTGTGTGCGTCGCATTCAATGGTTTTCCTGTGTCTTTGTGGATCTGACGAGACGGGGGGAATGGAGAGGGAGAGAAAGGGGAGAGGGGGAGGCAAGGCTTTTCAGGACATGTACTGCAGGTGGGAGAGCGGGAGACCGCTGGGATCCCTTGGCGGCAAATACTGTCAAGCCGGGGATGATTACGGTATTGGGGTGAGAAGAAAGATTCCTCGGTTGAGTTGTGTCAGGGGCGTGATTCGGGGTGAGCGGAAGGGAAGATGCGTGAGGGGTCAACAGGACTGCAGCAGCCGGGGGAGCATGATGCAGCCAATCCTGTGATGCGCATGGTTGCTTACGGTCCCTGCAGGTCCCGGAGACCAAGGGCAAAACTCTGGAGCAGATTGAAGCGGAGCTCCGGGGTGATGCCAAGTCGGCGTGAGTTGTCCACAGGAATGGGCATATTGTCGTGATGGGCTGGCGGCCCCAATGCATCGCCATGTGCTTCGGAGAGGAAGAGAATACGTGCATATGCATAAGTACGATTGATCAGCATGCATCGCCCTCATGAGTGGCATGCATGCACTTATACTGGCAACGGCGTGGATGTCTTGCGTAGTGTTAGGGCATTTGCACCCCAAGTTTTGAGTCCGTGCATGTTGGTTATATTCTGGCATACAGGGATAGAGCTGGACCGCCATAAGCGTATCTTGTTGGAAATACAGCGGTTGATGGTTTGCGCAGCTTGCGGAGAGAGTTGACGCAGAGAATACTGTTTCTGTAGAGTACTTTGTTCCCATTCGAATTGCTCGAGGATTTTACTCAATATGAGGTTGAACAGTCAAGTGGCATCTAGGCATGTATGGTAAAGGTTGGCCTATTGTCTACTGCATTTGCAGCCGCTTCTGTTGTTGAAGGAATGGCTTGCAAAGGGGCTTGCACTTTTGTGGTGGTGTTGGACCGTTGGCCTTTACAGCTTGTAAGCACTGGTGCTCTGCGAGTCCTTTCATAGCAAGGAGAACTAACGTGTCTGTGAAAGTCCCCCTAGATAGATGTTGATCCTGGGCCTTCGCGCGCAAGGCCGGCCGGTTTCGGAGGCAACGGATAGATGAATTGCTCAGTGCTGAAGACCATGTCATGCCGGTTGTTAGCGAAGGCAAAAGGAGTATTAATGTACCCTTTTAGCAAACTCGTTGTTCCTCCTCCTACCACTTTGACTTTAGACGTAACGAAAGACAAGTGGCGACTCTCCAAGCAATAATGGCTGAGATGGGGCTAAATGGGCTTGCATTACACGAACCTCAACATAGTGATATTCGTATGCATCGGAATGCACAAATGGTAGGCACATTTGAGGTAACGGATGTTTCACAGGAAGAGATTCGTGTCCGTTCGCCAACAAGCACCTTAGGCGACGAGGATTTCATGTCAAAGAATGATGCCGCGGCGATGGCGGCAGCTTACCGGGCGCGAATAGCCCTCGCTGCCGCGTCTCCCGCTTCCAACGCCGCTCCTAACGTCCAGCCCCGAGCAACACCCGCGGCACGCCTGCTGACCTTCGTGAACAGCCCGCAACCCACACCTACAGTACATGGCAGCGACCATAACAGCCTCCAGTCGCTGGAACGGAAATGGAGGGCGTTGTACGGCAGCTTCAAAAGTAAGCCGCTGCGGGCTGCCCCGTGAGCGCCGCTGCCAGCCCTCCGGCCTGTCGCGGCTATTGCTGCCACATCGGGTCACGTCATGCAATGCCATGTATGCGCCCCAGGTAACTCGCAAGCTGCTGCGGACGTCCTCATGAGGCAGGCCCAGGCGACCAGTCAGCTGGAGGAGCTGGCGCAGGCTCTGTTCATGTGGGTGCTGGTTCCAGAGCTGTTCTTTCGGAACTCAGGGCCATCAGTGAATGCACGGGAGGATTGCCCGGTTCTCCGGAGCTGATAGGGTCGCGTTGTGTTTCCCTCCGAAGCAGCTCCTTTGCATATCCATGCTGGTCGCCAGCCCCACCGCCACGCTGCGCTGTGCCGTTCAGGCAGCTCAAGGCCAGCACAGAGGACCGGGCGCGGCTGCAGCAGCTGCTGCTGCAGGAGCGGGCTCATCTCATGGCGCAGGTGGAGGAGGCGCAGCAGCTGCAGCAGCGCCTGCTCACCTCAGAGCACCGGAGCACAGCCGTCCAGGTTGTCACCGAGACGCTGCAGGTACGGCAGCAGCGTCGTACTTCCATTCCAACTCAATGGGTATCATCGCTCTGAAAGCCCGGGGGCCTGGGAGGGTCCCCCGGGCCATCTGGTGCGCACATGCCGTGTGTGGGATGGAGGCCCACGTAGGATGGAAAAGACCACACGGGGGAAGGCTAATCCCAGAGGATATGCTTTCCTTGTTTTTATTTTTTTACCAAAAAAACGGTTGTCTCTGTAATAACTTGTCTTATGAGTCCAGTGCCACTGGTTGGCAGGATGGTCACAGCTTTTCAAGGGGCAGGCTTTAAGGTATCTATTGCGCCTTTCTGCGCCCGCATCGCACCAAGACGGACACCTCGGTCCTTACGGCCGGTAGGCTTGAAGATCAGGATTGCGTCCCTTCACCCGCTTCTGGGGCCTAGCGTGATCTCGGCCTGACTCCGAAACCCTTGGCAGTTCCACCCGACGGATGCAGCAGCTTGTATTCCCTGTTGGGTTCCGTACTGGTGCAGTGCCGCAACCTGGCGAGGAAGCTCACGTCCAACACGCCCACCCGCAGACTCAGATGACGCAGGCCCGCGAGGCCCTTGAGGTCAGCAACAGGGAGCGGCAGCAGCTGGCAGATGAGGTTAAGCAACTGGCGGACCAGGTAGGGGGGCAGGGACGGGCAGTGGTTGCGGCGGCAAGAGGGTGTCTGTGGCCAGGCATCACTGAGCGAGCGCTTAGCCCAACGGGAAGGGGTGGCCTCCAGGACGATCTCCGAGCGGACAAGCCTCGCTGTTGCCCAGGAGCACCTTACTGCGGCTCTACACCGCGGCTGCGTGGTTAGGATCTGACTTAAAGGGGAGGGAAGGGGTTCGCACGGCCACACGTCAGCTGGAATCAGGCGCGAACGACTTGGCGAGGATTGACTTCGTTGCGTGGTTTCCAGCTTCCATCTGCTGTTGCTAGTAGCTGCTATAGCTCATGAGTGTGGCTTCTTCTGCTTTGCTTTGCTTCCCCTGGCCCTGGCTCGGCTGGCGTGGTGACCTGGCACAGCTTGCAGTCACCACGGAGTGCCGCGCACGCGGCGACGCGCTCATCGCCGAGCAGACGACCGTCATCGAGACGCTGCGGCAGCAGCTAGAGGAGCAAGCGTAAGTCTGAAAGCAAAGGGAATGTGCTTTTTTACGGCTTCTAGGCTCCAGAGGGTCTAGCTGTTCCGCTAGGTATTCATGTGGGCTTGTTGGTTCCTTTCCCCTGAAGCGATGCTCCCTGCGTCGCAACTGGCAACTCGCGTCGCGTACATCGAACTAGCGACGAGTCTTATGTTTGCTTGTCCTATGGCACGTTCATTAATGTTGATGACGCGTAACGCGTTTTGACAGAATCTGTTGAGGGAAAAAGATGCCGGAACTGGCGGACGCCATTGGTGCCGCAAAGGGCGCCCTTGGCTTTTCCTGTTTGTGAATGATATGTTGAGGGAACAGCGTAGCTCTTTCTTCACCCATCAGATCCACGATGTCATCGCTTGCGGAGGATAAAGTCCAGCTGGAGTCGCAGCTGCAGGGGGTACTGCGGGCGGAGCAGGAGCTGACGGTGCACCTAAGGGAGACGCACGCGGCCATTGAGGGGCAGCTGGCAGCCCTGAGGGACCAGCTCAAGGTACGTTGTGGAACGAATAGATCATATATGCAACTAAGTCCAACAACTACAGTCGCTTGCGAAAGGGCACGCAGATGGGACGGGTTTTGGAGCTTGTAACTTGTAACCTGCTGTGGTGACCATTTGCAGGCTGAGCGGCAGAAGCGCGCCGCTGTGGTCAAGAGGCGCGGTGACTTGCAGGTCCAGGTGGAGCAGCTGCAGGCGCAGGTGGCGGCTCAGCAGGCAGAAATGGCAGTGCTTATGGACAAGTTGGTGCGGGTGAGGGCACCTGAGGCCGTGTGAAGGAAGTACGGATGGATGTGGAACGGGATTCTGGATGATAAATTGGGTATACTTGTTGAGCACCGAAAGGGGCGAGCCCTGTAGCATGATTCATGCGTCCCCTCGCTGGCATGTCGGGGGAAAGTAGGTCGAGTGCACGCGGGATCGTACGGGCGTGGCATCACCCAGACTGTAAACAGATGTGGCGCATGCGCATTTGACTGGCAGAGTATGCAGGCAGCGAGCTCACAGTAACTTTGTTGCTGGGTTTCCCTACCATTGCACGATGCATATCCTAGGCGAGCTGCACCCTTCATATGTGGAATATTCCAGCTGTCCTAAGCCTTTGCCACCACGGCACAAAATGATCCTGGCAGGGCGGCATTTCGCACCCGGCTTCATTCCGAGCTGCCCCGGTGGCTGCTGCTGGTAATCTGGTCACGTCCTCAGTACCCAAGCCCGTGGCCCAGCCTGGTACCCATGCAAGACCTGCCAGCACTACTGGTACAGCCCACACCACCCACAGCCGAGGAACTGTGGGCACAAGTCTGCAGTCCTCTACGGTCTCCATGGCCGCGCAGCAACGCTCTCGCTCAACACTGCGGTCAAGCTCATTGGGACAAACGAACCCAAGGGTAACCTCCCCGTCTCCGACGACTTCCGGGCGCGGCGCTACTCGTCCTGCCACACAACGGCGCACGTCATCGCCAACGGCGGGGCCCGGGTCAGAAGAAGGTGCAGAGCCGGGCAATGGAGCTGCCGTCACTTTCCATGTCCCGTCGACGTTGCCGTCGCCTGAGGCCAGCTTCGCTTTGACACCGCCAGCTAATGTAGCGCCAGGGAGTGGAGAGCTGAATTCACCGGCCAAAGCCAACGGTGATGACAGCAGCGCTCCCTTGGCCTCCGCTGCCCACACGACGATTCGTGTCGCTGCGGTCATTGAGCCACCCTCGCCACCCATTGCTCTCATGAGTGCTAGAGAGAACATGGGACGGCACATCGAGCCGGCCATGGTCGGGGCAAATCGGCGGCGCTCAACGTCGCCTGAGGCTTCACGTATCAGTGCAAATGCGACGCACCACGCTCGCCGAGTTAGTTCCACGGCGAGTCGGCCAGCAAGCGGACGCACTACGAGCCCCGGTCCGGCATCAGGAAGCAACACGTGGTTGCCTTAATGTGTACGGGCAGTATGGGTTACAACTACAATCTTTTAAGCAATTTCATATGCGCAGGCTTTGTAGTAAGGGTTATGCCTGTTGGTTTTGTAAGTGTTTAACTTAAGCGGATATTTGAAGCGCTTAGTAACCACATGTAAAAAACTTGGCCACTCGCAGCTTTATTTCGGAAATCAAAGTTGAACCAGAATACATCCACTTGACACATTACATGGATAAGGGATACAAGGAAATTATTAACTTGACGAAGGAAGAGAGCAGTGTGAGAACCGTTGCAGCGAACGCTTTCCGGCGCAGTGCAACCGGTCCATCGCGTTGGAAATGGAAAGGGACGATAATGCAATCAGAGAAGAATTGCAGAATTGCATAATATTCTTTGCGCTTGGGCAAAACGCAAGCGTAATAGCATGCTCAAAGAGTATGAAGTTTTCCGTCTAATTTCCGTTGCGTCTTCGGTCTGTCTTCAGGGTTCAGCCTGTCTTCTACCTATCAACGAAAGTTCTTAAGTGTAGTCCACCGACGTCCCTTGTAACAGTGCCAAGTCAGCACGTGTAACGAACGTCAAAACTCTGGGACACCCTTGAATAGCACCTTGTGGGTGCAAGGGGTCCACGTAATCACGTAACATAGCAACACACATCACACGTAAAATTACCTCCCACGCCGTGCCATACCCACAAATGCATGGATCCTGACACCCTGACACGCACACATGCTGCAATCCCCCAATGCAAGGACGCAAGCCTATTTCCCTAGGTCTCAGCAATTATTCATGCACGGGAGCTCAAGCCGCTCGCACTGTTGTCGCTCAACATCATTGCCAAGTGCTGACTCACAACCGCCAGTGGCAGAGGGCTGACGCGTGAAACGCCCAAGAATTTGCTGTGGCTATACTTGTCGTAAAGCGCCGTAAGCTCGCCCCCTTGAGCTCGCGAGTTGACCTTAATGTGTAGCTCTGCAAGTACCTCTACGCAATCAGCGATTTGCGCTGGCGCGTAGTACGAGTAATGCTCCAGCGTTGGGGACCAGGGGGCACGTGCGAGAATTAAGTTCGCCAGGTAGACGGCTGCCGCAGCAATTTCACTTGGTAGGAAGTTCAGCATGGACGCCTCCATCAACGAAATCTCCGTAAGATAATTTGACACGAAGTGCAGCTGGTCGTCAGGGTTGCAGACCTGAATGTGCGCATAACAAAGGCAGTACTTTGATGAGCAAACAAGATGCGACATGCCCTTGCTAGCATTAGTGACATGGGCTATGGACAAGCATAAAAAGCGTAACCCGCATCCCGCAACATACTGCACCTGAAGAAGCCGGCGGAGGAAGGTCTTGGCGGTAGGCACCGTGAGCTCGTACTTCAGCTTCTTCAGGATCTCCTCCTCCATGGCCACCAGCTGCTCGCGGCTATACGTATTGTCCGTGATGTATGAGAACTCCCCAACATTGGGTGGGTAGATCTCCTCGTACTTTGCTGCAATCCACATGCACGTAATTCCCACGAGCTGAAGTTGGGAACGCGACACACGCTGCACGCTGAGGACGCGGTCCAAAAAGTTCACTGAGTAGTATAGTGTATCTGGAACCATGCGGTACTCTTCTGACACCTCAACGAGCCAGTCGACAAGAATGGAGCGCATTTTGGCGTTGATTTCCGGCTGCGAATCGATGTAATCAGGTATGGGCCGCCGTAGAAGCTGCACAGGAACCGAGTAAAAGCAAATTGCACCTCAGAAGTGCATCGTCGATTCGTGCGCCAATTTCGTATCCCCATTCCTTTTGCCGCAGGGAGTCCCCTTGATCACGCCTCGGGTGCCCTTTCTATTAACACCAGCTACCCCATTTTCCCAACCACGTAAGTATTAGTGCTCAATCCCGCACTATGTAAACCGGAGATCTATGTGCACATCTATGCTGCGCCAGTCAACCCCACTTGAGCGTCGTGCATAGGCCTGGACTTTACCTCAGCTTCCCGAAGGTACTCGAATATAGAAGACGCGTAGTGGCTGACGGCTTGTGGGTCATCATGATTTAGGGCGTCTACGTCAATCCACGTCTTCTTCCTGTCGTGGTCACCTGTGCAGCATATTTCTTCGAAGGATTACTAAGAGAACCCGTACCTGTAAAGCCGCAGAGAGAACGTACCTGATTGGCGTACGCTGTCAATGATGCGCGGGTCCGAGAAAGCTCCGTGAGGAATAGATGGTGGCACAAACCCGTGCTGCACCTTAAGTGCCTGGCCGAACGACGCCGACTGACCGCTGACGTGCGACAAAGTTTTCCGGTCACCCTGTTCAGAATCAAAAGGAATCTGTAATAAAGCAGCCGGTCGCGGCAACAAAAGAACGCTCTTAAGGGTTGTCGAGCAACGCAACGATGGTCAGAGACAATATCCTCACCGTCACTGCACCCGACCGCTGCAAAGCTTGCCCATTATTGGTCAAGTCCGCCAGCATCGCGCGGCCAGTTGAAGTTCCTTTGCTCACGTCCTGTGGTGGAGTTCTTTCGGTTGGACCGCGCCATCGTAAGCTACAGCATGAACGTTTTCCGCACCTGCTGACTCGCCGCGCTGCTCTTGGTTAAATGGCTAAGCAGAAGCTCCTGAGAGTAGGTAACTGGAGGGGCTTGGACGCCATAGGAGGACGCTCCGCGGCTGTAATGTGGATTCATGGTAGTCAGGAATGGCTGGGGCAATTCGAGGCTGCTCTATTGTTATGCCAACAAGCCCCTGAGCAAGGCCAACTAATGTTTGTTCGCCATAGGTGTAATGGTCAACAGTAAAAGACCACTAGAGCCTGGGTGAACAACCGCCAGGGCGACTTTGGGGGGTGGGGAGTGAAATGCAAAATAAATAAAGTTCTTTTGTTTAGAAGTTGTTTAGCCTTAATTAGAAGACTTCACGCAGCGTGAGAAAACAACAGGGCAATGCGTCTTTTGAACGAAATTCCGGACAGCTGCCGTATTTTCGCGAATTGGCAGGGGCATTGCTGAGCGTAACCCAGAAGCAGCTTAAAATTTGAAACCATTCCATAGCATGCTTGCATTAGTATACTAGCCCAGCGCATCCTGTAAGGAACCGTCCTGAAAGAGTCCACCTGGTCAGAATTCAGCCGACTGTGACGGCTTCAGCAGCTTATAAGTAAAGCGAAATGATAAAATTTGTAAACATTACTCTTGGTAACCCATAGGGCACTTTCTTCCATGGCCAACGGCTTTCACTGGGCCATCATTCAGCTCATGATTGCTAGAATCAAAGCGATGTCGATTGCAACGGCTGCTTGTATAAAAGGTGAATGAAAGCTGCGTGTTCAGTGTCGTGCATACTTTGCAAGCATGACCCACATCATCTTTGCATACGCACGACATTACCGTGAACCCATGGATAGGACTTCTGGATAGCCAGCACCTTCCAGGGTGCATAAATGTCCTTCCGGACTTCAAGATAAAAAAAACTAATATGCATAGACGCCTTGATAAAGCAGGATCCGGGAGGGTGGCCGTGCGGATGCCGGAGGATGCAATCAGTTCTGTAGCTGCCTCCTAGTAGGAATCAGTGTTGTGTCTTCGTGGACAACTTCATTTTTGAACAAGATGTAGGCTTTTCACATCCCATACACGCTCACGCATCCCGTCACGTGATATGCATCCGGATAATGCCGTCAAGGATTGATGGCAGGAGTTACAAGAGCGCCACAATATCCAAGTCGATGTTCAATACGCGCCCTATTGCAACGTCAGTCTTCCCAATCCCATCCGAGCCTGCAATACGTTACGGCCTGCAATATACGGACAACCCAAATTGCACCGCTTTCAGCTCCAACGGTCGACTGCTCGTCATGCAGAGATTTGAGACACTCAGACATATTTATCGTCTTCCAGCACAGGTCCAATAGCACAACTGTACATGCGCACGCCAACTTGCGCACGACCAGCACCATGCGCAGTAAGAAAATGACGAAGCTCAACCCCCGACCGACAGGGCACGACGTCTTGCTCTCGCGCTCATGGACTGTCACCCCTGAACTAGCCCTCCATCAATACACCAGTCAATAGTACCGGCCACACCCATATGCAGGCGCATTCATAGGAGCTCATGCTCGCCCAGAATATATACGGCGACCCATATCCATCCGTGACACGAATTGTCCAAAGGCGGCCAGGACTGGCCCTTCAAATGCTGCTTGCGTGCGTTGCAGACACTGAGCAGCATTTGGAGTTTTCACATAGGACTGCCGTTGACTTAAGAGCTAGGTCCGACAGAAGGTCCCTGTGCCACCACTTAAAACCGTTCAGCCTTTCTATAATCACGGTTACTATGCTGATGCCGACCCTCACGGTCGCCGTCCCGTATGGTGCGGCCTTCTTTTTGCTCGCTCAAACCTTCCCTGCTGCGCTGCAGGTCGCGATCTCTCCGACCATCTCCTTCCCTAGACCGCTCATGTCCTCGTAGCTCCCCTGCCCGCCAAGCGCTTGTAGGATCCCGCTGGTGGTGCGCGTCCCTGTCCCGATATCTTTTCGTGTCCTCGCCACCGGGGCGCTCCTTCCCCCGCAAATCCCTTCCCCTGCCATCAATTGAGGAATCGCGCTCCCGTTGGCCCTCCGCGTCGCGACTTCTCCGGAGGCCTGCGCCGCAAGACCCCTCACCATCGTATACCTCCCGTGCACGTTTATCGCTCGGTTCAGCTCGCACGCCTCGATGTTGCCTGTCGTAATCATGCCGGCCATCAACTCCGCCGGACCGTTCCCGTCCAGGCGGCTCCCTTGCATGGGCATTACCTTGCCCATGACGTTGGCGAGGCCGCTCTTGATCCTCATCATCGGAATCACCTCGGTCGCGCTCGTGTCCTGGCTTGCCAGCACGGCACGAGGACCCCGCTCGCTCCAATCTGCCGCGGTCTGACTCCCTGGCCCTGCGCTGAAGCTCCCCAGCGCCTCTAAAACCAGCACGGCAACCCTCCTCGTAGCAATCGCTGCCGTCCTCACGAATTCGGTGATCAGAGTAATCGGGGTCCTTAAGTGCGCCCTGATCACTTATTCGGTTATCGCAGAAAGAAGTACTATTTGTTCCGGTCGTCGCCACGCCCATGTCCCGCTTGGCCCCATCTGCAGGGGGCTGCGCGTGACTCCCGTCGCTGCGCGATCTCTTGGCCCCAGTCGCCTCACCTGCGCCACACCGCCTACTGTTTCCATTGGCAGCGCCCGCGTCCGCCTTTACGTCTGTGTCCCTGCCACGCTTGCTTCCGGCTGCAACGCCCGGTGCAGACGGCCGGATTGGGTGAACAACTTCTGCATCCATGCACAAAGAGGGAATGGGTAGCTGAGGGGAGCGCTGCTGTGGCCGCGGCTGCTGCTGCTGCTGCTTGGCCACTGCGACTTCGGCACGTAAGCTGTTGATTTCCGCCTGCTTGCGGGTCATTTCCTCCTTGGCCGTCTTAAACAGACAAGATATGTTGCGCATAAGGATATCTCGCTCCGTCGTAACGTTTAGCAACTGCAGCACAAGCAGGGAGCAGGGTGGCAGCATGCGAATTACGCGCTGTGGCTTCCTTGTATCATGCGGCATAGTTGGCACCATTGCTTGGCACCCAGCCACCCATGCATCGCTCCAATAAAAATGACATGAACTCCATATAAGCAGCAAAGCGCCCTTAAGTCCGTAACAGGTTGACAGGCTGGTTCCTCGACACCCACCTGCTGATCCCGCTCTTGCAGCTGACTCCTCAGTGCTTGGACTTCTAATTTGCGCTCCCGAAGTAACTCCTCGAGCTACATTGGTTACACCAGTTCTCAGATGAACAGCGGTTAGGCCATACGGGCAGTCGTACGGCGCGACCCGGGGGTCGTAGGGGACTCAAGCAACCCGCTCCATATAAGTACAGAGCATGATACAGACCCGGGCTGGGAAAACCTATGACTTATATAATGTATGGACACACCAAGCAATGCCAATTACCTCGTTAATCTTGTTTTGAAGGTAGGTCTCATGGTGCCCCGAAGACGAAGGCCCCGCGAATAGGCCCTCGTACAAAGTGACATCGACTGGACCTAAAGGATACCACAGGGGTCAATGGTTGGGACGCTTGGTATGGATTGACAAGCAAAATGCGAGTCTGGCTTAGCGAACCTTCGGCAATTGCTGCCTCCGATATGTCTCCATATAAGTCATCTTCCATGACGACAAGCGTCTGAGGAAAGACAGAACTCCCTTGGTAGGATAAGTGTCCTATGAACGTGTGCCGACTAATGTGTGCCGACTACTGCTTTTTCCCGTCATACTTTCTTCGTGAAGCTGGTCACTAAGCACTCAATGGGGCGTATGAAGTAGCAGAAGAAACTGAGGCACAGGGACTCTGTACGTGCGCAAGCTTTTGAAAGGCATGACGAGTCCTTGTACGAATTGCATGCTGGGAAGGGAAATGCCACACACAGTTATCGTGCTTGGTGGCATCCTATTGCCAACTACATGCCTTATATAACAACCCCAAATAACGGTCTTACCTGTGCGCATGTTACGATATAGGGACGCAAGGTCATGCTTGTTATGGGTTTGTATGGCGGCTGTAAATGTTTCTCAAAAATTGAGTTTTGAGATATAATTCGCAAATTCCTTTATATTGCTTTGGCGGATGGCGCGCGCAGCCGGTGGTGGGAATCGTTGCCTTTGGCTGTAATTTCTTGCTCCATAGTTCCTAAACACATGATATCATATGACAGGTCACCCCGAGCTAGAGAAATTTGTTGCGGAGGCGCTCTTAAAGCGGAACAAGAGCTATGAAGAGTAAGTCACTATTCTGAAGGTTACAACATGAATTGCTGAATCGTTGCTGAATACGCCATCGCTGGAATCATGGCGTTGGGTCTGTGGCTGATCTTGAGCTGCGTAAAAGCGTTGGCTATGCGCCGCCGCTCAAAGTTAACGGAGAGGAGCTACAAAGGTATGGCACCCGAATGCTCACTTCTGGCTCGGCACTATGCTGCAGGCTGAAATCGCTTCTACGGGAATGCCGTAAGAGGGTGGAGCAGGAGCCCGACTCTGAAGAGGGTATAGTGCAGCTGACGACGCTCATAGGATGTATCACAGCAAATGTGTCGGCCATACATGAGCGGAAGCATGAGTCCATTGTGTCGGACCTCCTCAGTATTAAGTTGTGGAACACTGCGCCGGTACGCAGGGCAGTGGGGACAGTGGGGACAGCCAGCTGTCGCTGCAGCTTTGGCAGTACAACATCTGTCATGGCACACGCCATTCCACTTGCTTATGATGCATCACCGGTTCCGGGCTATTCAAGACCTCTTCCCAACCTTGATATGGACCGTGCCCGCCGCAGGCCGTGCTATCGGCGGTCCTGGATTTCACCCGCAACTTGGTCGTTGCGAACTCAGCGTTTACACACTCATGCTTGCAGCTCATAGTCTACAGCTTCACCCCGCCCCCGGAGGCAACAAGCCCTGGAGAGCCGTCGGAAGATTTGCACGGCCCCTGGCGGCCGTCTGAGCAGGCCCTGGCAGTACACCAGTCGCTCCTACCCATCCTGGTTCGGGTCCTGGCCTTAGTGCCGACGGCGCCTACAAACGTGTTACCGCTTATTGTGTCACAAATGCCGCACAAGCTACAGGACCGCAACAAGCAGTGTTTGTACTTGTCAGCGCTCTTTCGGATTGCGGAGGACCGGACAGGTGCACCAATCAGAGAGGCGCTGCTCACCGCCGTGGTAGAGCACTTGCTGTCCATGGACGTGGAGATCAAATGGGAGGATATCGTTGATGTGCCTACTGGTGGGTATGATGCCCTGCCTTTTTAATTCTCTGCCCTTAAGCTTAATATTTGGTCCCATACAAGCCTCCGGCGCACCCTATAAAGGTTGGGTCATGAGCCGTCCCCCGCGTCCTGAGAACCCTATTGGGTGATCCTCTTTGCGGGGACGGTGACGCTTTGCGTTTGCCGTGTTAAGGGCTCGCAGCTTTTTGTAGCAACACGTGCCGTTGCAGCTTTGCACTGCCAAGACATGTTCAAGGAGCTTTTCAGACATGACGAGAACCCGTCCTTTGCCCGAACGCATGGGATAGGATGGAGTTCACTCTCTGGCTGAATGTGAAAAGCAAACGGAAAGGACTGTGTGGAGCATAAAGCTTTACACCATGATATCAACGCTCCGACACCGTTGTAGCCCCATGCGGTGCTGCCTGGCGCCAAATGCGCAGCCTCGGCCAACTGCGCTGAGGTGCAGCACATGGGCTGCCCCGTAGTGCCGCCTGCTGGGCAGGACTCTTCCAGCTCTCCCAGCTTGATGCGCGCTGAGGACAAAACGCGATTCAATGAAGTAACTAGCATACAACGTAGGGATGACCCATTCAGGGACCCTACGGAAGTGCCTGTTTGCCGTGTTGGGGGTAAAGCATACCACCAGGAAGCCGCCATGGTAGCCTTGAGCGCTGCCCTGGCGCCTCGACCATTTGCCCTGCAGCGCACCATTATTGTAATGGAGGTGAGGTGCCACAGCATCACCTGAATGCGTTGTCGACGACCTGCGCGCCTTTTTGGCGCACCTTGAGGTCGTCGTCATGAGGGGTCATCAGGGCCAGCTGCAAAGGCATTACGGCAGAGTGTGCAGTTAAGAACGGACGGACAGAGAAGCAGCATGGCGCCGGACAAGCATGCCCGGCGCAGGCTCCAAGAATTGCTAGGGTTTTCCGGACATGATGAAACAGCGGCGGCATCGTTGGCATGGAACATATATCCATGTATGAGCATGGTACGAGGGCTTGGATGGGCAGCAAAGCACGCAAGGCGGGAAGTCCTGTCGGATTCAAGGGACGCCCGCGCAACAACAGCGCATTATAATAGTAAAGCTGCACATTAACATGTGCAGCTTTGCTGTCCTACGCGATAGTGAGACCTTCGTGAGTTCGTATCCTCCAGCGCCTTGTGAAGAACGAAGCTGCGCATGCAGCCTGCGCTCCACGCTTGAAGCTAGCCTGGTCGGATCTGTGATGCCTCTTAACCGTGTTGGAAAGGTATGCCCAAGCTATGCCTTGTGTATGGTATTGACGCTTCCTGGGTGAACCGCAGCGTAACAATTTTGACCGGTCCCCTCCTGCGAAAGGTGAAGAGGCGGAGGAGGAGCAGGATGACGTTGCTAACGAGGACGTGTTTGAACTGGAGGAGATGTTGGCAAGTGAGCTGGATATCAATGCTGGTCCTGAAGAGCTGGCGCGTAGGCATGCGATGCTGGCGATGCGTCAAGGCGCGGCTAGAAATGGGCGTGGCGGCTGGGAGGGCGCTGTAGCGGGTGCCCACGGACAGCAGGAGGAGCAACCCGCGACGCCGACGCGGCCGCCTGTTGACGAGATGGCCAACAAGATGGATAGCATGATGGAGCTTGCGTTTGAGCACCTGCAGAAGCGTATCGCTGCCGGTGAGAGTGGGGTTTGGATCTGGGGGATTTCTGCTTGCTGAGCCTGCGGCAGCAATTTCCGGCTGCGTTTGTAGCGCTGATCACGTAACTAGGTGCTCAATGAACATCGATTTCTCGACCTGAGTAGTTCCCTTACGCGTTTGCCCCTTAGGGAGCCTTTTCTCTTCAGTTGTGCCCAGCTTCGCGTTAGCTATCGGTAACATTTTGGGGCCCCGGTACTGTTCGCCGTTTCCATTCCTCGGCAGGCGAATTGCGGCAGCTCTGGGATACCCTCCTCTCGTGCTTTGAGCGCACCATCCTCAACACCCACCGGTCCAAGTTCACGCAGTTTCTGCTCTTCTACGTGTGCATTCACAATCCGGGGCACTGTTCGCAGAGCCTGGTGCGTCTGCTGTTGGCAAGGCTTCGCGACCCGCGCCAGGCACCTATCACACGCGCGGCCTGTGCGGCATACCTGGCATCTTTTCTGGCGCGCGCGGCATTCGTGCCGGAGACCGTGGTGGTCAAGACCCTGCAGGAGCTGGCATCCTTTAGCTTGGACTATTGCAGGGGCCAGAGCGGCGGCCTTTCGGCGAGCAGCAGCGCCGGCAACCTGTCCGCTAGAACTCTCACCAATAGTGGTCTGCAGGATTCTGCAGCGCTGATGGCCTTGACTGCAGAGACTGCCAATGCCCAAACGCAGCGGCACCAGATGTTTTACGCGGCTGTGCAAGCCATCCTGTACGTGCTATGCTACCACATGCAGGCCTTGGTTGGCGACATGCTGCAGCAACAACAGTCTCAAGAGCGTGGGCAGGAAGGGGCTACGGATTCCGGGGAGCAGACAGATGCCCATAACAAGGGCAATAAGGATCTGGCGGAGTCTGTGGTGTCGCTGGTGCGGGGACCTGTGGTGCAGCTGCTGAACCACCGCCTGCAGCCGCTAGGAGTTTGTTTGCCATCGGTGGCGGCGGAGTTCATCCATCAGGCAGCGTCGCTGGGCGTCGTGGATTTGCAGTCCTTGTTGACGCAAGTGGAGCCAGAGACGCGGTCCCAGCGGCCGCTGGAGATGTTTTTTCCGTTTGACCCCTACCTGTTGCGCCGATCTAGCCGCTTCTTGCAGCTCAAGCAGAGCTATGTGCGCTGGCGGCATGGTCACCCGCAGACGGCGGCGGGTGGTACCGGCGCGGAGGTTGCCGACAGCGAGGATGATGAGGGAGAGGAGGCAGACGGCCGGGGCAGCGACGGTGCGTTTCGGCCACGCAGCTTTACTATGGAAGTGCCTGTGTGCCTAGCATTGAGGTCCTGTCGGGTGTCAAACGTGGATTGCGCGTAGCTGCTCGGAATGTAGGCCGAGGTTAGAGACACGTTCAAGCGGTCTGTACTGCCTGTAAAGGCAAAGCGAAAAATAGCTGCGATGTTTTGGTCGCCGCGCTGAGCCATAGTTCCTTGGTCACCGCGCCCTGCCTCTGCTCTATCTTCATCCCAGGCGAAGACCAGGAGCCGAGCCCCAGCAACAGTGAGGACGAAGGCGAGGAGAGTGACGACGAGGATATGGCGGGTCGATCCATGCCGTCGGACGCGATGTTGCATGACCCAACCAACCGGCTGCACGCAGGCGCGGCAGGATCTTCCATGCATCATGCACGGGGTGTGTCCGGCGCGACCGGCAGCAGGCCGCACGGTCGTGGAAAGAGCGGTAGTGCCGTCATGGGAACATCGTACATGTCGTACGCCTCGACGGCAAGCCAGGAGGTTGCGTCACCGTACGGCATGTCACCCCATGATGGCGGCGACATGCTCGTGAACAATCCACTGGGGAGCTCTCCTGGCGTAGTGCCCATGTCGCTTGGAACACCCGAAATGCATTTCATGTCGCAGGTGCCGTTGCGCATAGGCCGCCATTGATTGCGTTTAGATTATGCTGCATATCATTCGGGGTATTGCAGCAGCAGGGCACTCGGATGGCCTAGGTTGCAGCATTGCTTTCCACGGGCAGGATCGGCGCAAAACTTGTTATGGCGTTCGTGGACAAATTGGAATCGCTTCTCTGCTAGCTGGCTGAGGATGTTCTAGTTCTGCAGCGACCATAGTAGGTATACCGCAAAGAGCAATTATTAGGCATGCAGTCTGGGGATTCTTCATAGTTCGGTGCATCTGCGCTAAGCGCATTGTTAATCGAGAGGCAGTGTGTTGGGATTTATATGGATTTTCGACTGTTTGCAGTAGGCGCTCTTGAGACGATGCTGTTTGCAGCGCCGTCGAGGAGTGCCGACGGCGAGTTTGGAGACTTAGGATGAGTGGTCATAAGCTGGACAGTTCATTGGACTTGGAAGCCATCTATCTCTTGTTACATCAGCAACTGGATGGGTAGCACTTGCTTAGCAAGCCAAATGCGCTTGCGTGTGTCAACTGCTGTTTCCAGGGCTTATAACGCTCTTTGCCTACAGGCCTGCTGCGTCTGCTTATTGAAGCTCGTGCTCACCTAGACCCCGCATGATGCCCCAATCCTACCGGTAATCTCATCTGAGTGTCAAGTGCTGGGGACGAGGGTGGCCGTGCGGCTTCCCGGAGGTTCCGGGAGAATCGGATAGCTTGGGCATCTCTGGTGCCCGCATTGCACGGCTAAAGAGCACCTAGCAATGCAGGCCATTGTCTCACTGAGGTACGATAACCTACAAAACTCATAAACGGGCTCACGGCCTCAACGTGGAATCATGACCTTCCTCTTCTAAGCATGCCCTTTTTATAACTGCAATTTCCAGATAGTTGACGCGATTGGCGGCTTGCGGATGCCTAACTAGCATTTTTTTGGTCGTTGGGAGGATTGGGAAATGCAGGGAACCATTATCATACTTCACCTGGCATTCACTCCTTGATGGTCAAATCAGCAGCTGCTCTGTATGTGTGCATCATTGTTGACATCCCTTGACGTGCATGCTTGCCCTGGCGTCTCTTGATGAAGTCCCCAACGGACATGGTTTCCCAGGTTCGACCTGTAAGGGGTTTTCCTCGTCGCTAACAGGTTTCTAATTGCCTTTCACAATGTGCCTGTGCGGGCCTGGAATTCCCGTTTTCTGCAGCTGGTCGTGGTGATAGCACTGCGGGTGGACATGCGCGGTTCACGTGCGCATGTCTGCACCAAAGATAGATGCATGGGCATGGCCTTTCACCGTGGATGTTAGCAGGTTTGCGTCAGGTAGTTGTATTCGGATGCACCGTCCTACATATGCGGCCCACATCGCCGTCTCTCCAGGACGCCATGATCCTGCATCCTCGCTGAAAACGGGGTAAGAGATCTTTTTAAGGGATTATTTTTGGGGTGCCGGGGTTTCGTGAGCCTGGAATAATTCTCTGGCCTCCTGGTTCAACCACCGTTAGGCGTTGCACGCCTATACACGCCACATACAATCCAGGCATACATAATGGAAATGTTTTCGTGAGTGTTGTGTTGTGTTATTACAGAGCGCTTGGGCCGAAACCTGTACTGCGGCTGCGAAACAGTTTCCGAATTTTGACCTCCCTGCGAAACCTCGGGTAACTGTCGGAAACCTCGAAATGCTGTAATTTGTGTGTGGTTGTTACAATGTGCTCCTGACTCACGAAGAATAGAGCCAGCGGGCCGTGCACTGCACTAGAAACTAAATGTCGTTCGCTTGCAAGGGTTGTAACTTGTATTCATGGGAGAGGGCTACAGAAGTACAGGGAAGCGTCACGGCATCTGAGGGATTGCTGATTGGACTGTTCTGGGGGTATTGACAGAGGTAGCCCTGAGCATCTTACCTTGGCTGATAGGAAAGTACCAAGCCATGGGGTAAGTGCCGTTTTTGACTCGGTCAGAGCCATCAAATGAGATGCCTGGGTCTCCGCTAAGCACTGAAATTATTCCTGACATTATAAGCATGAAATCAAACTATCGCATGGTTTCGCAGGCTCAAACACCATGCGTACGCTTTGAAAACAGATTCCGCATACGGCGCTTGTGTTAAGACCAGCAAAGCGCCGGACCCCCGCCGGGTCCTATTACTGCTGTTACCATCCTCTGGTATATAAGTGTCGGTCATTTCCAACAGCTTGCCGAAAAGGCCGGTCACTAGTTTCGGCCTTTCCGGAAAGGCCGAAACTAGTTACCGGAAAGGCCGAAACCACAGGAGGGTAGAATCCGGGCTGGACTTAGGGAAGAGCTCTGTCGCAGAATTAGCCTGGATTTTATTCCTGACAAAAGAATTGGTCTGTCGAGGTCTTGAATTGTTCTGGCGGGCTCGCCGGAGGTATTCGAATTGCGCTGTGGAGCCTCGGAATTGGGCTGTGCTGGGCCTGAATTGGCCTGTCCGGGTGTCGAATTGGCCTGTCCGGGTGCCGAATTGGCCTAACAGGGTGTCGAATTAGCCTGTCAGGTATCGAATTGACCTGTTCGGGGTGTCAAATTGGCCTTGCAGGGTATCGAATTAGCGTGTTCAGGGTGTCGAATTGGCTGTCAAAAAAGTTGGCAGGATTGGCTCGGGCTGGCATCCAAAAGCACATGACTTTAAAGGAATTTACAGAAAACTTTGCAAGGGGACCGCTTAAAAGTGCCTCATATGCGTATTGGTTTCGATCCCAGGACATGGAGCAGGAAAACTTGCACACCTGTTTACCGTACTCTGGCAATGTAGGGAGGCAAGCACAGAGTCTACTTACCGGAAAGGCCGAAATAGTTACCGGAAAGGCCGAAACTGGATACCGGCCTTTCCGGAAAGGCCGAAACTACTTACGGAAAGGCCGAAACTAGTTACCGGAAAGGCCGAAACTGGATACCGGCCTTTCCGGAAAGGCCGAAACTACTTACCGGAAAGGCCGAAACTGGATACCGGCCTTTCCGGAAAGGCCTTTCCGGCGTTCCTGGACCTTTTTGCTGAAAACACGGAAACAGGATTCACAGAGTTTCCGTTTCGCAAGGTTTCCATTTCGGCCCGACCGTTTTCTTGCAAGCTCGCAAGAGCTCGCAAGGCCCGGACGAGCCAGGAGGCCCATAAACCATAAACCGCGAGAACGGCAAAAAAGGAAAGCGAAGTTAACGACCCTTTTTAGAGTCGTCTTGCTCTACCAGGCTGTGTTTGCGTGCAATTCGGGCATGGCGCCGAACATGTGCAGCGTTTCGACCAACCATCTCTGTGCAACGGGCCATTGCTTGTAAGCAGCGCAAGGCGCGGCTCCCGCCACAAGGACAAAACTGTTCTCCGAGCCGACCAAGGGAAACAGCCAGCTATTTTGAAAACAATGTCAAAAATTCAGGAGCGCTGAGTAAAGGAAGAGTTGCGTAAAAAACCAAGGATGAAGGAGTAGGACATGAAAATGATGTGGCCTGATTAGGAAAGTTTGCCATCCCGCGTCACCTTTAGGAAACATGATGAAACGGCCCAGGATGTTGTGTGGCTAGCAAATAAATGGATAGCTTTCACTTAAGAATTAAAAAATATTTCCGAAGGAACGACTGTGGGAGCGAATCTGCAAGGCAAAGATATTCAGGGATAGTAGCCTGGGATGGATACGGATAGATGTGGAGGCTTGTGGGCGAACAAACGGGAGCTAAGGACCTAAAAGAGTTGGGTGATCACAAATCAGCTATCAGTTCATGCAGCAGCCGGTAACATGTCCTGGCCCACGTCCACGGGCCGCATCTACGGGCCAAATGAGTAACAATGCTACATACCAGCACGTGCTATATCGTACACCCGTTTGCATTTCTAGAGCACACGAGCAAAGTCAGGCAAGTCAATTGGCGGTGGACTATAGGCTCGCTGGTGGATTGCCCAGCATCGGGGCAGGTCTGATATTATTGCCGTTCAGCATCCATTCGCTCATCCATCCGCCCATACGTTTAGGAGCAAAGTTAGGTCGAAGTGTTACCGTTCGCTCTTAACGAGCTCACGCGGCACCGACCGCGCGGCATATGCAGTAAAGGTGATAAAGAGCTTCGACTTGAGGGACAGCGGGCCAGTGCCAGGACTCACTCCATTCGCTATTTCTGTTATATATATACAAATCAACGCGTTGCGATGGACCGTTCTGCAATGAACGTGTTTTCAGAGCTTCGGCGTGCGTCTACAGCTAGGACACGAGCTCTCGGTGGCCTTGTGAATGCCAAGTCAACAATTGCTCCTGGCAAGAGGCTTGCGACCTGTAAGCTCGCTCGTCCGAAGACGAAGTGTTCAAGACAAAACGTTTTCCAGGTGTGCAACGGCAAAATTGTACGAAGTCGCGATCTTTAGCATTATTCCTGCATATCGGATGGGAACAGCGAAACACACGACGTCCTACATCCTTGCGAAGTCATACTTGTCACTGCTGCGGTTTCGCTTAGGGACGCGGCCCTTGGAAGTTAGCCGACCTGGCGGTCGGTCGCGCCAAGAGCGCTGGTGTAGCGTCTGTGGCGACAGATTATGCATTAGATAATGAGTTTTACGCGTTGCTAGAGTTTCCCGCCTATCTGGATGAAGGCACGCATGCTGATAGCTGAATAGGAAGCCTGAGGTCGCTTACTCTTACTGCTTTCTCTCGGAGATGGAGGTCAGATCCCCTTTTCTCGTTTTCCTTTTTTGTTTCTTCCTTCCTTTTTACTGCGCTAGAGCTCCTGGTCTGTGAGCCTCCTGGCTCGTCTGGGCCTTACGAGCTCTCGCGAGCTTGTAACATAGCATAACATAGCCCGTAGGATCGGCATGTGTTCTGAAATTCTTAAGCTAAACTTATGATGTAGGGCACCAAAGCTCGCGTCGCGGCCCTCCTGTCCTCGCCATGGTTTTCTTTTAACTGGCGAACTGCATGACATAGCGTCCATTAGTTCTACAATGTGGATGTGGGCCTTGGATAGCCCTCGCTTCCTTGCTGTGATTAGTCCACGTTTGTCACAGACGGCAGTTTGCTTGCGCTCCCGATGGCAGCAGATTCGCAACTCAAGCCGGAACTCTGAGACCAAGGTACTGATGATGAATCGTACATGTAATTTAATCACATCGTTGTAGATAATGATCGGATGCTTGCGCATCTAGCCAGTTAACCCTTACTTGGGCTGCTCGGAAGGGAAACGACGCATGGCCACCATGGCGCTATCTATCGTAGGTGCTTGTGGATGGTTCAAGTGCGACAATTCCAGTGCCAGGTGCACGGCGGCGCCAGCGGAACGCCCGGCACGGCGCTCGTCTCATGCCACGGCCGGGAGTACCTTTCCCAGCAACCTCGGTGGGAAGCACCAGTCCTGCGACCAGCGTCAGCGGCTCCGAACAGGACCTTACTGTAGACCTCGACTACGCACCATCGCTGGGTCCGCTCCGTGAGGTCCTCTGCGTGTTAGCGCCCGTCCTGCTGGTCGCGCTGCTCTATGTCGCCACGGGACACCTGCACTATGGATTATGGCCAGCAAACTTAGCGAGCATAGTTCTCGCAGCGGCGCTGGCATCCCTTGCGCGCTCGGTATGGCTGGAAAAAGCTTACAAGGTATGCATTCTGGCCCTAAGGTATGCAGCTAAGCCGTCAACCGCATGGATGCGCTTGCAAGCGGTGGTTAATGCTTTGCTTTCCTCCGCCGCCGCCTGCAAGTCGTAAATGGTCGTTGGATTAGCGGCACAGGATGCTGCCGCTCTCTGACTTTGTGCCAATCTTCAGTCTGCCGCAAATGGTTTCCAAAAGAGAGCCACTTCGACGCTATACCGCAAAACCTTGGTGCGCCGGTTCATCACCCTCCATCCGCATCCCTGCCAGGCGCGAGAGCGTGCGTTTGCGGCGCTCGGTGACCCAGATTCGCGCTTCCGGCCCTTTACTAGCGCCGCGGCGGGAGGGGCAAGAGGAGGCGTCCAGCAACTGGTAGTGCACGTCAAGGTCAAGGTCGGGGACCTGAACTCTCCAACAATCGGCAACGATGGTAGGTTTTGACCTTCAGCCGTTCAACCAAGATTCAAATACTTTGGGGCGTTCTGAGTGCGACCCGCGGGTCGTGATACAGGAATGGGGGCTGCAATTTCTATCACAGATGCGCCGGTGATCCTTTCCAGGCCACTGATTTTCGATTCATCCACTCACTGCGCTGGTTTCCTGCATCTTCATGCGCGGCGTTGGCTTCCTTGGGGATCGTCGCCTTTGGAAGGTCCTGAGACGGGTCGAAACTGTGACAAGTTGCCATCCCTCAGACCGAGGGGAAAAAGCAAGGGCTATATACCCGGGTTGATGACATTGTAGACGGGTTGGACGGGTCACCATTTGTGCTTGCAGGGGCTGAGAGCGACGGTGCACCCGCCGACGACGGCAGCATGGGTGATGATGCACATGGCGGTGGTACTCGTGCTGGCGGAGCTGGAGCCCCGGAGGACAGCCTTGATGCCCCTGCTTCGCAAGGAGGGAACGCAGTTACAGCCGTGCACTGCTACCATGGTTTCGGCGCCAACCTGGGGTCGTACAAGCGGGTGCAGGAGGAGATGGCGGCAGCGCTGCGCGGTGTGGTAACGGCCCACGACATGCCGGGCTTTGGGCTTACGCAGAGGTAGGGCTACAGGTGGCGTACCGGTGGCAAGACCGTGTGCCACGTGAAACAAGGCTGCTTTTGTCCTGCAAAGCAGCTGAAGGGAACGTCGTTTCCATCACGAACTCATAGCCCCAGTGTTATGAAACCTCATTCGCAAAGGAAACCTCTTTATGCATTGCAGGCCCTCGGACATTTCTTCCTACTTTTTGACGTTCAATGGCCGCTTGGGCCGGTTCGTGATGGACTACGAGTTGCAGCAGCTGGGGCTGATCCCTCCGGGGGAAGCTGTGCAGGGGCAGCGTCAGTTCAACAGCACGGCGGCTTACGGCGACATCTGTCGCCGTACCGGTGGCCCGGTAGCAGCCTTCGCAAGACGCGACCCGAAGCATCAGCTGCAGCTAGAGAAGGTAAGCAAGGCTGTAGCGGCGGTAGCGGGAGGACGCGGGTGCTATGATATCGTGGGGGTGTTGGGGCTTCCAAATGGGTATTATGCTCGTCGTCCGCTGTAGTATCCTGGGTATCACGGGATCTGTCATCCGCCGATCGGTTCTTTTCTGCAAAAGACGTGATACAACGTCCGCGCATCTTTCTCACAACTTTTTTTCCGATTAACTGCTCCCCAATTGGCGCTGTCGCCCCATTATCATATCAAAACGCTTCCACAGCATGGAATGGAATTGTAGAGTTGAAGAAGAAGGGGCGCGCAGCTCTTCCAAGGCCTAAGGCACTGCTCTGATGTCGCGGCTACGTTTGTGCTTTTGCGGTGGTGGCTGCACTGACGCCGTGCTTGCCCCATGACGCGTTTTCTCGCCTCCCCCACCACGCGTGATAGGCCCCGGGCGAAACCTCGGCCTCCCCAAAGCTGCCACGTTTCGGAACGGGCACCAGCGTGCCGTCCGCATCGGTGGCGGCCCCCGGGGCTGTTGGACCAGACGGCGATCCCCTCACTGGAGAGGTGTTGATGAAGGTGGCATCCGCAGAGGCCGCTTCGCCGGACAGCTCTGGTGAAAGGGTGGTGGCGCAGCAGCACCGATGCGAGGACCGTGGAGAGGGGCAGACGAAGCAGGCCGCACGCGTCGCACAGACTCGCGCCATCAAGCGCATCCTTATCGGTCACTCACTCGGCGGCGCCTGCGCTTCCCTGGAGGTGAGTGAGACATCTTCTCAGTACTCCCATTTTGTCCGCAAATTTGTGTGATTGGAAGGTTTCGTACCGTGTGGAGGTGTACGACAAGGTGTACGGCATGACAAGGAAGGGGCTTGGAGGATGTGGAACATGTATGTGCATTCCGGAACCCACGCATGCTCTGCTGCTGGTCCCCGGTGCCGTACATCCATAGGTTTGGCTGTTCACTTTTCCGGCATCTCAAAAGTCTCTCTTTAACGGTTGTAAACCGCAAGTATAAAGCATGGAGGACCATACGTTTTCTCTCTTCACTCCCCACGTCGCGCGGGGCTGCTACCTGCACCCTCTCTCAACAACATTGCTCCGCTATGTGATTTTGCCGTCCTGGATAGGCCGTGGCCAACCCGGACGACCTGGCCGGGCTGGTGCTGGTGGCTCCCGCGGTCATCGCTCTGCCTGGGCCCGAGTACCAGGCAGTCACACTATCACCCGACCGGCCCAGCGGTGAAAGCCTTGGTACGGCAGAGGCAGCGGCGGCAGAGCAGCTCCGAACCGCCCACGCCCGCGCAGCAGCGCACTTGGGCTCTGAGCCGATTGGCACCCACGTGACCGACCCTCCGGAGGTACGGCGGTTGTACCCCGTGGGCCCGATGCCCGGTGGGCCTGGGAGCGGTTTTGTTACGAGTGGCAACAGTGCTGGCGCTGGCGATTGCAAGACGAGCCGCGGCGAGCGGGGCGGCGTGCGTGCGGGGACTCTCCTGCGCGCCGCGCGGATGCTGTTGGTGGCCCTGGCGTCGCTGGCGCTGATGACGGTGCTGCGGCTGCTGGCGCCAGTCATCACACTGCTGCTGCGGTCGCTGGTGCGGCGGCGGACCTTTTGGGTCAAGGTGAGCGTCAATGATTACAGCCACTGCACGCATATAATGATGTACGTGATGGCTATGTCGTGCGGGGCGCGGTTGCCGCCTTGCGTTGCGGTGTGCGCTAACTAAGGGCCCGTGTGCCCGTGTACCTTTGGTCATATATACGCATTGGCGTTGTGTACATTTCCGCGCTCGCAAGGCGTTGTCGATCCATCTTAGCTCCGAAGGCCTTTCGGCTGTCCTCCTCATCCGCTCCCGCATCGCGCTCCAGGGTCTGCAGCAGGCGTACTACAACCCAGGGGCCGTGACGCAGGACATCGTGGATTCGTACCGCTTGCCGCAACTGGTCAGCGGCTGGGAGAGCGGAATGGTCAACTTCCTGTTGGCTAGGCTCACCAGACCCAAGTGAGCAGAGCACTGGGAGCCAGGGGAAGCTGGGTAGGAATGGCCGAGAGCGGGTTGAGCTAGCCAAGAGCGGAATTGGACTCCGGCCTAGTAGCCCGCGAGGTGCTGAGATTGGATTTTTGTGGTATTGACCCCTGTGAACCCGGGCACCTGGCGCTCCTTCGCGCCTGCTGCATTGGGATTCACATCAACTCTCCTGCATCCGTCCTTGTTCCCGTATGTCTGTCCGCCCGCTTCTTTGGACTGGCTGATACATTCATAACCCTAATAAGCGGCCCCTCATCATTTCCGCTGTCCTGGGTGCGTCCATTCGTCCGTCCGGGCGCATCCTTTTTCCCCAACCCCCCCACACATACAGTGGCAGCTTGCAAACGCTGTTACGCCAGGCCTCGAAAATATTGGAGCCTGCGTCGACCTCTGCAGCGCTGGCAGCCACTGCCGCAGCCGCCAGCGCCCTCGCCAAGCGATCGGCGGCGACAGCACGAGAGCTCTCCCGGTCATCCTCCTCCGCCTCCGCAGCTGCCTCTGCCTCCACCTTCTCCTCCTCCTCTGCCGCGTCCTCTTTTTCCACTTCCCCGGTAAGCAAGGGCATTGCAGACGCCGCGGCCGGTTCTGAAAGCCGCCGTGAGGGCGTCGCCGCTGCCGCCAACCAGCGGGACGATGATGGCAGTACCGTTGTGGGCAACGACAAAGTGGATGAGGTCGAAGGCGATGGCGACCTCGCGACGCGGTTGGCGGCGCTGGTGGCAAGCAGGGGCCTGCCCGTGCTCATCATTCATGGGCTCTACGACAGGCTGGTGCCCGCATCAAACAGCCAGCGTTTGGCCCGCATGCTGCCCGGCTGTGAGCTGGTGCTGCTGGACCGATGCGGCCACATGCCGCAGGTACGCTGTCGTCCGTTCCTCTGTACGGCAGGATATTTCTTTCTAGTCTCTAGGACAAAATAACCCGAGCTGTGTAAACTATCATCCGCTCTCCTGACTCAACCATTTCATTCGCAATGTGCGTCCACTCTCTGCGCTAGTCGCGAGACATTTGGTTGTTCAGTTCTTGTCCCTCCGCCCTGGCCCGTTTTGGTCGAACTGCAGGAAGAGCTGCCGCAACTATTCGTGAATTTGGTAGCGGAGTTTGCTGCGCGTTTGCCTTGATGGAAAGTCAACTCTCGGTTCGAAGCCGCCCTTCCGGACAGTAAAGGGACCCTAGGGGAGCTTTGTTTTGTTAAGGGACATTGCCAAGAGAGATGACGTACAGTGAGCGTGGTACGCAGTAGTACGATGGCCATAGGTTTACAGTGTTCCTTGTAGAGGCACGGCCTTGTGTTGTAAACACGTGCATGGCAAGGCTGCGTTTTCGGTTGATCGCTTTGCAAGGACGTTTCGTATATCCGTTTTCCACCGGTACAGAGAAAATGATAGAGATTTAGGACATTAGGAGGAGCACTGGAGGGAGGACGTCATGGCAATTTGTGCCATTGTGACGGCACAGCGATAGTGACGTAGGACACGGCGGTTATGGCGGTCTCATCGGGCTTCGGGATCCAGCAGTTATTTCATGCGTCGCCAAAATAGTCCTCAATGTATCGCTGGCACGCCTCTTGGCAGCCTGCGCATCATTTTGCATTCAAAGGGTGGGTGGAGCGTTTTATGGAGGCGCTGGAGGCGCGTTATACGGTTTATTTATTCCCTTACGCATTGAATTGGCTGTGTTTTGGCGTCGGTTCTTCGGTTCACGCGTGAATTCATGTGGTATGTTTTTACCAAGCATTGTCTTGACCCTCAGTTTCGTTAATTTTCAATTTTTTTGGTGGCGAAGCAAGGGTCCCTGTCCAGCATTTCGTACGCATTCAGTCATGCTGTGAGTTAGGTGCCCAAAGCCCCTTTGGCCATCCCACATTAGTGCCGAGAATATAGTTTTCGTTGATTATCATGGGTTTTTGACGGTTTTTTACATGCCTGATACGAAAGATGCCCAGATGAGGTCGTCTGCTGAGGTTGTTACGTTTTTAAATTCTGCTGAGCCTCCATGGCCGTGGCATATGCAATTAATATCATACAATAGCTCTTGTACCCAAATGCAGTATTATGTAACATTACGTCTGCGCCCACGTCCACTTGCATTAAGCTCTCGCTCGTTGGTTCGCGCTTGCCACCAGAGAACATCCATTGTCCTGACGTTGGCTTTAAGCTTATGGCTTTGCACGGCAGACTGTTTTGCAGGATACAACAGTGCCGGTCTGTAACATCGGCGGTCCTAGTTCAAATAACACCCGATCAACTCAACAAAACGGCTGAAAGGTCAAAACATGACCCGCGACCGAACCTTGATGTCTTGGCAATGAGCATAACATGCATTGCGCATTTGCGCTGAGGTCATAAGTTATACGGATCGAACGGCCCAACGGCCAACAACTTCACCAGCAACAGGAGGGCGACGTTATGGCCAGGCTTTCAACTTCCACCCACTCTATCGCAATAAATACAAGTATGACTTAGTCAATGAGATCTCTATCATATCGTGCGCTTAAGCATGCTGCCTAGCTCTCCGAGAGCGAGGCAGGAGTCGGCAGCCGAGTCGGCCGCTTGCTCTTACGACTGAGCACTGTCACATCAGGTCAGGTTGCAGCATTGATTTGTGAATCCTTATATTTTTTTATGAGTACATGCCAAACGCCCTGGTGTTTGCCGTTGAACATCAAGTAAGACGATGCACATGAAGATGCTCAATTTTTGACCCATATGATCCTCTGTATGCGAAATGGTCTGTAACGCCGTATTTACTTAGGAGCTGGATGGACATGCATAATACCGTTGTGGGCCTTGTACCGACTTCACCGCATGCTCTGTAAGCTCTTAAACAATCTAGTATGCCGTCTACAGTACATGATATCTTACTATTTCTTTCCATAGGCAATTAAAATTCTTGTGCTAAAGCGCTTCTGTAGTGCTACCAAATTAAATGGCCTTGTCTGCACGTAGCTTTCAATCTGGGCAGGTTTGCAGTCGCAAAGCGGCTCCAAGCAGATGTGTGGCTACTCGGCCGGTGCGGTCCGTGCGAGTCGCTCAGGCGGACGCCGCCCCAGCCACTGAGGCTCCCAAGGCTCTTCCTGTGGAAAAGAGTGGGCCGAACTTCAAGCCATTGCGCGACGTTATGCAGATCATGCAGATTCTGCCTCACAGGTACCTGGGAAGGGCACGATATGGGTTGACGCGCATGCGTAGGCGTTATAACGCCAGAACAGAGTCAACGGAGGCCAACACACCGCCTGTTACGGGCTGTCGTGGATATTCAATTTCAGTGAAGCTATTCGTGTCGAGATGTTAATGATCTTGGCTGAAGTGCTGAAACGGTCCTGGCGCTTGTGTAATCCTTCACCTACATCTGAGGGTGGCGTACCAAGGCGTAATAGAACCGTGGCCCCTCCGTTCATAAGCTAGACATCTGAGTCGTGGCCATTTTCTCGATTGCTGAAGACCGATAGTCGTCCGTGCTATTCGCCGCCGCTTACTCTATAGTTGTCGCCACTAAGGAGCGACATCGACAAGATGCTTGCGGCTATCCTTCAAGCCACAACCAACGTTGGGTTGTCTTTGCTGCAACCCTTGCCCATTCCCCTCCTCCCGCCTCGGCTCTGACCCTGTCCCTGATGGTGTGTTGTCCTGTTTCTCGGCCGCACCGTTCAGGTATCCCTTCCTGCTGGTAGATCGCGTTGTGGAGTGGGAGAAGGAAAAGTACGCGGTGGGCTACAAGTGCATCACCATCAACGACAACTTCTTCCCAGGTCATTTCCCCGAGCGCGCCATCATGCCAGGTGCGAAGGCCAGTTATTCCCCCTATGCGGTTCAACCATGAACCACCCACAAACCAACCGTCAAATTGGCGTGTGTTGATAGCAGCCTCCGCCGAACTGGGCCGTATTGCGCTGTAGGGCTACCAAGTTATGGGTTCGGGCTCCGTTTTCCCCATCCTCACTGTCCCCTCGCTGTCCCATTCCCTTTCCAATGTTACTTCGCCCCCTTTTTCCCCGCGTCGTACGGGGTACTTACATAATGAGGGCGCTATGGCCTCTACTTTTCCGTCACGATTTACCTGTCCTTGCTGCCCTGCACAGGCGTTCTGCAGGTTGAGGCCATGGCCCAATTGGCTGGTATCGTGATGTTGGATCCGGAGGACACGGAGGCCAAGGGGCTGTTCTTCTTTGCCGGCATTGAGAACTGCCGCTTCCGCAAGCCGGTGGTGCCAGGAGATGTGCTGGTGCGTGGGATCGGCTGAAACAAATGCAGGAGTTGGTTTGAGCACCATTCGGCGGGCTGGAAAACTCTGATATTGGATACACGAGAAACATATACGCTTTTTGGTTCAGGCATCTGACTCTTGCCCCACACCAGCATCGTCACAGCTATCAGCGTTGTTATTGGCTTTGCCGCGGCCTGCACATCTTGCAGGCCGATCCAGTCAGCTCACCCTCTGCTTGAGTTTTCGTGCCTACCTTCTGGTCTACATGGTTCTTCCTTCTTTCCCCCTTGTGTAGATGATGCGTGCGGAGGTGACCAAGTATAACAAGCGGTTCGGCATGGTGAAGGTTGCGGCCACTGGGCATGTGGGCGAGGACCTGGTGGTGGAGGCGGAGCTGACTTTAGCCATGGGCAAGAAGTGACGGGGAGAGTGAGGGCCGGGATGACTGGAAGTTGCAGACAGGAGTGCGCACGCGGCGATGGGAGCTGTGGGAAGACGGACTTGTGGGATGTGATGGGCGGGCCGAAGAAAGGGAGATTTAGTTAAGCTGGTTGCGAACATAGGTAGACAAGATCGTGTCGAACAGGGACCGAGAAGAATCTTACAGGCTACGCCGAACCGAGCTGACATCACTGTGTATTTGGGTACTACCCACAGGCTTCTGATGTGCGAGCAAGGTTTGTGCAATTTACTGTGACATCACACTGATATATGCGAGAGGGCAAGAACGAATCGCAGGCTTAAGTTTGCTCCGTTTTCGTACTTGGGTGAGGAACCGATGGAGACAATGATGTATTCTTTTCGGTTATTTCTCCAATATATTATACGCAGCGAATGATTGGTAACATAATCTACAACGTTCATTTGTTCAGCGAGTGCAGTTGCCGCATTTCAATCTCGCATGTATACTGTTACATTATCGGACTACGAAGGATATAAAAAACAGTTCCCATGGCTAAGCAACGCTCGATTATCGTGATACGCGATTAAAACGCGTGGGTATCCTATCAAACGAGCGAACGAGAAAGACAAACCAAATAGTGAGGGGGCAATGGCATATTCCAAAATCAAAATAGTAATATGACAGCCTGCCGCATTTTCCAGCATGGATGCATAAACGCCTGCAGTAACATTCAGCGACCAAACATTCCTGCGCACATTACGACCTGCTCCTTAAATATTCGCAGTATTCACCTGCAAGCTTCATTATACCTGTGACAAGCTCATGCAGTGAAGACGCCGTATGTCACTCGAAATTTCCCCTAAAACCTTAGCTCGGTTTTGTACATGTGACCTGCTAGCTGGTCTGATGTCCACTGGCCGGCGCGAGCCAAGCACAACTCAAATAAACAGAACGGACTATTTCGGTTGACCGGCGCGCGCAGCTGTAAAACCGTGCATAGCTGACGCCGCACCAGGAATTCAGAGTTCCATTAGAGCTCCATACTAAGCAAAGGAGGGCTGTACCAGACAGCTTAACTTATCATGGCTGATTGCTGAATTAACTGCCGGACTGCCGGGACTGGAGACGCTAGGCAGGAGATACACATTTGCGGACAGCACTTCCGGAGCCGCGTGGCTAATGCTGATCCTGCTCAAGTGAAATCATTGGGATCTTGATTCTTCAACGTGCGCACCAGCAGAGACACTTCCGGTGCTACCCGAACTCCGCAAAAAATCGAAATCCCGTGGAACGCTCGTGTCGGAAGAGCTGGGTGAGCTTGACTTAGCGCCCTGAGACCAGTGATCCGCAGTCGCGGTGCTCGCAATAGGACTGTGCACTTGCGCATCGGCAGAGAGACCAGCTGAGGCGTCCGACGCACCGCGCCCATGCGACCTTTGGGCTTGTAACCCCTGCCTCTGCAATTCTACCTTGACCATGCTAACGGCGGCCTGCGGTTGTAAGGCACTAGTAATTATAACTTGCACCAAGCTATCCTTTTGATCCTGGAAAGTGCTACAACAAGATACTCAGCGGCACGCGCAAGCCTGGTGAACTTGGCTTTGCATAGTCTTGCTAACCGGAAAACATGAAACCCTGGGAAGCGGCTAGCGCGCATAGCGCCATACCCATGAGCTGCTATCATTCCTATACCTCACCTTCTGATCCTTCAGGACATCCGGCGAGGCTTGAAGAGCACCTCCGGAGAAGGCTTCCCCTGGATATGGACAGGTGGTTTTAGGAAGCTAGAGCAGGAGGTCTCATGAGCTACGCTCGAGAACGCAGGCGTACCAGTTTCCTCAACAGCACCCGCTTGCTTGAGATTGTGGGTAGGGCGGATGTAATCTGCCAACTTGCTCTTGACGTGCTGGTACTTCTTCGATCCCGGAAGGCTGCGGTTCTCCTTGTCCTGTAGTACTTGAGCTGATATGGTTGCAAGCTTCGCGCATTACAAGACGCAATGGTTGAATGCAAAGATGTAAGAGATTTCCGTTCGGGACTCGGCTTTCCAGTACTTACCCGAGTGGACTTGTTCCAATTCTTACTATGGATATTGGTGGCTGGAATGGAACCTTGGCATCTCCCGGTGGTTGCAAGGGACAGCTCTCCATCTCCAAGGCTTTGATTTGTGCGACCATCTCCGGCAGGGACGCGAGACGATGAAATAACCAAGCTTTGGTATCCTGTCTTCATTGTCAATAGGTGAATTCAAGTAACGCAGGCACTGGGCGCAGGGGGACTGTAGTAAGGACACTTCAAGGGGTAAGGTTCGTCTGTAAGCAGCAGGAGAATAAGCGCAATAAACCTCAAATATGCAACTAAAACGATAGCTTGGATGTTAGGCGGCTTGTTGGCCGACCTCCCATTTTATACTTTGTAATGGGGAATCCAGCAGATGTACGGTTTCCTCCGAGCCCCAATAGCATTATTCAAAGGAAAAGCTTGTTACTGAAACAATGGATTTGAAATTTGAGATATTCTTTTGCCACAATTATGGTGGATGTGTTCCCTTCGTCCTTGGCGGCATGTGCTGCAAGTGAAAGTGCCCCGTCAAGACCAAACCGATATAAGCAACCAAGGTCACGCCAAGGTTACGGCCTCTGTACCATGTTTCATACACTGCTAGTTGCCATAGGACGTGCCGGATGTTGTCGGGCAAGGAAGGATCATACTTAACTTCCAGGGTGCTACGTTTGCACCTTGCAAGGTGCTTCCATCGGTCTACCGATATCACCTGAGGCAGTCTGAGGCTGCCAAGGACGTGGTGCAGTGGCCTTAGGATTCTGCCGTGTCCACGACATGACCCAAGTCGCCTACATCGCACGACCTTTGTTACAACTCGTGAAAGCCTGAAACCTACGCGTTTACCAAGTCATCTATGAAAACCAGAGGCTTTGCACTTCCTGGAATCTGAGGGAATTGTCGGTGCATCCCGGAACCAAAACTGTACAGGTCAGGTGCCACTTGACTTCGGGGTAAAATGACGCACGTCGATAGACCAGAAGTATTATAAAGTACGATTCACTGAAATCAATAGCCGGTATCCAACCCCAACATCACCATAAATGCAAAACCGGCTCAGGCAGTACTGCAATACACAAACACGTAGGCAGCTGATACTAGTCAGTTGCTACCCGCCTCACTTTTCCACAGAAGCTAAGGTGGGGGCTTAGGCAGAGTAAGGGTTTGACGACAACGCCTGTAATCGCTTGACCGCCTGCTGGTGTAAGGGCTGCCTGGTCAGAAGTGCATTTAAGCAGGTACGTGCCGCAGTGGTGTTGCCGGCCTTGGCGTACGACTCCGACAGCTCCAACAGGATCTCGTCTACGGTGGGCCCTATGGAATGCAGGTGGGGGATCAGATGGTGGTTTAGAGGGGGCAGCAATGTTGCTACTCGCGGCGGCGGACGAAGCAGTGCCGGCCAGGGCCGGCGTCGATGAATCAGACCAGCAAACCCCACCAGCACCCGTCTTAGGGTTGCCAGTGCAATGCACGGTCCGTTGTGGCCGCCGATGGCCCTACTACCCAGCCGGGTACTCCTGTGGGGTCTGAGGCTCGCTATAATACCTACTACCACTACTCCTGCGCCAGTAGCCGACCCACAAAGCGCATGCTCACACGCTCTCAAGCCACCAGTGCCACCCCTCATATTTCCCACTCTCCTGCCCGTACGCCCCCCTTGCCGCACCACACGGCAACCTTCCCCATACGTTGAAGAGAAACCCATGCGCTCGGGCCCGGCCCCTTTCCAAATCGCCCATACCAGCATTCGATGTGTGGCTCCTCGGCGCCAGCAGCAGCTCCGGAACCCTCGCCGCCCGCCGCAGAGGAGGCAGCCTCGCTGCCAGTTCATATATCCCTAGTTGTGATGCCGCCTGAGCCATCCAGTAGAGCAACACTGCATGGGGCTGCAGTAATGCAGTGCAGTAGAGAGGTACCACCAGCAGCTTGAGCGCAATGTGTATGCCCGGGCTGGATCCTGGGTGTGGGGGACAAAGGGGCAATAGGGAGGTGGTGGCGGGGGAACAGCAACGCAAGCAGCACGAGCAAGTGCAGGGCCCGGCAAACTCACCTCCTGCGGATCTGTCCGCGGCGCTCACGTACAATAGCACGAGCGCCAGCGGGAGGATGGCTCCTGCCGTACCGTACGGAGTTGAGAGCGTCTGTAGATACACGGGTGGGGCCGTCAGGTCCTGGAAGTACAACAGTCCCTCTCCCGTGAAACCGGGCCACAAGCTGTCTGACATGCGGCGGAGGGCCAGTGACAGGGACACCACAAGAGAGACCTGCAGAGTGGGACGGGGGAAGCCTGGCAGCTCAGGAAGCGCCATTTTTTTCCCGCCCGTGCCACGTGTGTTTGGTGTGGAGAAATGCGTGATAAGTGTCGATTACCGATCTTAACGCAAATCCTGACCCAAATCCTGACCCAAATCCTGACCCAAATCCTGAACCAGATCCTGACCCATACTCTATTCCCTAACGATGTACGAGCTGTAGCAGGCGGCGACGGCATCAAGTTATGCCGTTGGTGCGCGCGGATGTGCTCATGCGTGGGAACGTGCATAGAGACGCCTCAGGAATTAACTCGCCACAAAGGATGACAACAACCGCAATAACAGCAGCAAAAGCAAATATAGTAGCGAAGCAACAGCAACAACAATAGTACAGTGCTGTACATAATCGTACGAACTCCTCCACGCGGTTTCCAAACAAATGGCTTACCGTGAAAGGGACACACCAAAACATCATCGATCAAACGCAGCAATCTGCACGACGGCACACGCACCTGTACGGCTGTGTTACCCAAGTACCAGCCGAAGGAAGGCACCCCATGCAGATGCCGCAAGTGGTTGAACACCCGGCGCACCACATCCATCCGGCCTAACTCAGCCCCAGCAGTGCTGCTGCCGCCACCGTTACCGCCACCGCTAGCATTGCTGCTCTTGGTCCCACTGCTGCCGCTGCTGCTGGGCCCCAGCTGCGTTTGCACCCCCACCTGCTGTTCCCCGGGCGCCCCTACCCCTGCTCCTCCTGCTTTCCCCGCTAGCTGCCGCTCCCCTTCCCGTTGTTCCTCTTCCTGCGCCTGTCGCCGCTGCGCCTGGCACTGCTGCTCGGCCGCTGCAGCCACCGCCTCGGCAACCGCGCGAGATAACTCAAACGCCTGGTGCAGCAGGGCCACATTGGCAGAGGCCGCGTATGCACGCAGGCTCAGCGGCATCAGGGCGCCGCGGAGCAATAGTGTAGTGGTGGGGATGGCGGCCCACCAAGGCAAGCCTGTGGCCGTGTGAGCACCCTCCCACCATTGCACTCCCAGCTGGGTGGGGCTGAGGATCAGGGCTAAAGGATCCTCCAACGGGGAGGCTGCGGAGATGCAAGGGGAGGGGGAGAGCGTAGAGAGGCCCAGGCCCTCCGGTGCTGCTGCTGCTGCTGCTATTGATGATGATGAGGTTGAAGCTAGGTGGTCGTGTGCGGCTGTGAGCGGCAGGTTGGAACGGACACACTCGGAGGTTAAGGTGCTGGAAGGCGCTGCCATGGAGGCGGCAGTGTCATTGTGGATGGCGCTGTGGTTGGAAGGAAGGGTGAGGGGTAAGCCTGGGTCCGATGCGCGCGTGCTATTGTGGCGGACATGGCTTGTTGCGGATCCTTGGAGGCCCGTGATGCGGGCGGCCCTGTGAATGGGAGGGAGGTGAAGTGAGAAGGAGGCTCCGCACGGGCGAATTCATGGATTGAGTGGTACAGCTCGGATGCTGGGAGGCAGGAGTGGGGCAGGCGGAGCGCCGGAACCTGCATGTCGTACCCTTATGTACGCTTACTTGTCACACGCCATACAGCTTAGGGTTGTGTGACAGCAAGGTTTGAGCCTCCCTTACCAACTCCAGGTCCAGGGTGCAGCTTGGGTCGGAAACGAAGCCGAAAGTGTCGCGGCACAGGGGCATCGCGCAAGGTGCGCAAGCCCCCCAATTTTCCGCAAACCTGACATCTAGTGCCTACAGAACAGCTGAAATGGCGGCGTCGGCGCACGAATGCAAGATGTGACAAGTGATGGCCGGACGGGACAGAGCGGGGCGAAACATCAGCGTGCCTAAATTACTTTGGTAATCATTTACGCAAACGGTGCGTCGTGTCCTTTGGTAAACAACGATAACGCTATCTTGCCGACCGATTTCGGGACAAAGGGATGTTGTACACGTATAGCACCTTTTTGCAAGGCTATGCATACCCGATGTTACAGCATTAGCACAATACAGGACAATCGGATCAATTTACCGCAGGGCAACTTTCAAAACCGGTTGCCTGCCAACTGGTCCTTTATTTTGTGTCACTATTATAACTAACTCTCACTGTCGCCATAACATTTAAGTCATATAATTTTGTGCCTTAGACAACATAACGCACACGTCGATGTCATTTGCGGCCTGACCTAGATTCTAAAGCATCCTTGCGGGCAACAGCTGTCTGGAATCAGCTTCTAGCTTGAGAGTCTGTCCCTTGTGACAATGTTGGGCGCAAGGTCTGTCTTTTTACTGCAGCGGCGCGGGTTTCAGTTGCGCAACATCTTGGCACCTTCCGCTAACTGCACCTTTTCATGAACGTTCGTGGACATGGAACCTCTCTCCTGCAATCGTGTGGCTGACAGCAGGGACAGGAAGGGTTTCTCTAGGGTAAGTTTAGGCAACAGGCCCCTCTAGCCAGGGTGTCTGTACTCCCCGGGGTCATTTGCATTCGTTTCATGACCGAAGTCCGGCCCATTGGTATGCAGGACAAGGTGGACGTCGAATCATTGGAACAGGAAAATGATCGCGGTCTGGATCACCTCGCGGATCGTGTGGCCCTCCTAAAGAACGTAGGTGATATGCCGTACATGCTGCCTTGATCGAAGCAGTGAAAGCACAGACGATCTTACCCGGAAGAGCCTTATGCATAGCCATATGTTGCAGGACATTTGGAAAAACCCATGATGCTTGGACTAAATGGCTTAGTCCAAATCCCATGATGCTTGGACTAAGCCATTTAGTCCAAGCATCATGGGTTTTTCCAATGAACGATTAATGAACACTTTCGGATCCCGTCGCCTTACTGAACATCGCTCAACATACATACATACACACACTGCGCCTCGAGCTTTTCTACTCCCTGCTCCTTACTGCTCTTCCTGCAGGTGACGCAAGGCATCAACAAGGAAGCCAATGACCAGCACAAGCTATTAGACAACATGGTGCGATGGTCGTGATTGCGTTGTTGCTGGATGCGGGGGCTTACGTCCGAGGCTTCCTCGAGTGTAACCCCAGGCCCGGACCCAGGCCGACCTGACAGAGGCTCCCGGCCTGAAACGGACACAAATTTTATTGCCGGGCCTGTCGCTTGATGGTTGGCATGGTAATCTCATACATACATACATACATACATACATACATACATACATACATACATACATACATACACACACACACCCCAGCATCACTCGTCTCTGGTTAGTCTCCCCCCTGGAAGGTGTATTGGAGAAGTTCTTAAAACTTGTGGTCCATGACCTCAACCTCAGTGAGACGGCATCGTTGTGTCCTCTGGACGGTGCTACAGCATCGATCTTGGTGTGAGCCGCTGATTTCCTTTTCCTTTACTCCGCCCACCCTTTCGTAGGACGGCAGCTTTATGTCCGTGCGAGGGTTTATGGGCGCTGTGACGGATAAGTCCCGATTGGTAAGCGACGGGTAAGGGGCGGAACTTTAGGGGTTTTGCTTCCTTCTGGTCAAGCGATGGGAGGAAGGCTCCCGGGTCACAGCTTCTAGAGGGGCCTGAGAGGGGCCTAGTGTTTCGTGGTGAAGTCTTCGAGACCGCCATCTGCTGGGCCCATTAGCAGTCAGCCAGCACACGTGCTACGGCAGCTCTGGCCTAGCCGACTTCTCGAGGAAGCGAGGGCTCCACAGTTATGCGTATCTTTGGATGCTCCCTGTTCAGGTTTAGTGGATGCCGCTTATCCCTTCGGGAAAAACGCAGTCCGGGCATGGCATAATGATTTCCATTCACGGTTTCTGACTGTTGCATCTGGCGCCATGCAGCTCAGTCTTCTTACCGGGTCGGCTGTAATACGGCTTAGGTGCACTTAGTCCTGTTTGGGGTCCATTTTATTGTTTATTACTGTGCCGCCAGGCTGCAGCTAGCCAGGGAATGATACCGATGAGCTGCTGGCTGGGGGCAGGGATCGCTCGGTATACGCTGCGCGGGATGCGGCTCGCGGGATATCACCGTTCGTGGCGCCTCGATGCGTTTCTCCGCATACCGCACCGAGCTTTACGCTGCTGCGCCCCAACCCTAACACCATGATTGAGTAGGGCGCCTGTTGCGCAGGCAACACTATAAACCCAGACTCGATGCATGCCTCTTATCTGTGTTATCCGCAAGGAGAGCCTGTTTAATGTCCTTCAGAAAAAGTAGGCACGACGCGTCCTCACGGTGCGATGCCGCAGGTGTACAACGATAAAGCCAATAAGCGACTTATCTACGGCGTCATCAGCGTGGCGGCTGTTTTGTTTCTCGTCTGGTACTTGATGCGCAAGTGACCCGGACTTCAGGAAGGTCGCTGCGTTGTGCTGATGGGCGAACACCGGGTCCTGGGTCTCGCAGTGCTCTACTGAGAGCAGGTCACACCGTAACGGTGGCCTTGCGTGCGTGCGGTGTTGGGGTATGGAAGTGCGTTTGCCTTCCTTTATTTTGGTTAACAAGGCGGACTGATGGACATGAGCAAGACGCATGGGCTGGACTACGTGCGGCGTTTACGGTGATCCATAAGGATGATGAAGCAGGTTGTGTGTTCTGGACTACCTTTTAGATCAGACCGTGAACACATATACCATGCGAAGGTGTTTGCTGCTTTCGAGTATACGGGTTTAATATAGGGAGACGGAGGGATAGGGAGAAGGCGGTTTCATGCAAGTGTAATCAATTTCTTGCGGGAAAGCATCGACTTTGGTCATGTCGGGAAAATATGAGCGTTCGCATTACAATGAATATCGAATTCATCAGCTGCGGATTTCGATTATCGGCAAGAGCTTGATGCAAAGCACGTTCAGCGTGACAAACACCACGCGACGCGAATCAGCATGCTCCTCCCAATCGAGCTTCGCATATACCATCACCATCTGCAAATGACAAACTTCCTGTCTTATGCGAAGCTATGCGTTCCAGAACGCAAGGTGCTCAAACCTGTGAAAACTATACGGCATATTCGGACCCGGGAAAGTGTCCCCGGCCGACAAGCTGCTGCGTTTTTGTGCGGCTGCCCTCCTGCAACTGGTTCGGAATCTCAAGAGGGCAAAGATCAGGCGCGTTCCCGCACAGCGCAGGATGCCGATCCGACGCCCCAAATCCATCGACATGCAAGCACAAAAACAACCAACGCCATGAACTGTTGGCGTAACTCACTGTTTGCTCATCTGTCCCCATACAGCACATGGACACCCGCGTGGGTCATGACCACGCACCGCAAACTCCTCTAGCACCCAGAGGACCTCACCCCTAGGTGTCTGCCTCCACAGAGCGCCTTTAAATCGCACATTATCCGGAAACGTTACGTCTACTCTGATCGTCCGTACTGCGTGCTGCTGTAAAAATTTATGTAAACACACGCACCAATGGGACATAAGAATGGTACGTAAAACATGTCACAAGCTCTCTACATACGACGCCACACGCGACCACGAAACATTCCGGACAAGCCCAGACGGCGTATCAACACGCAAAGATCCGAAGTAGGTACCAGAGCTCGCTCTTCAGTAGCGGGAAGCAACGCAGAACCGCTCACGCGCGCACACAGGCCCAGACGTCACGCGCTTCAGTACACATAGAATGGAACCCCGTTCTTCCTGTCATTGCTTTGCATGCTTTTGCGCCAAGGGGTAGGAGCTATAACGTGAATTAATGAACAAACTTCATGAGGAAAAGCACTGTACATCTGCCTCACCCCAACCGCGCATGCCCAGCCCACACGGACATGTAATGGCGGAGCCAGTTGGGAGCCTCATGACAAACCAACGCTACAAACAGCACCCCTGTAGCGAGGTTTTGACCCGCTCTCACGCCGCGGCTGCTAGATGCTTTTACTGCCGCGGCCCAGTCATTTACATGAAGATTCACACTGCATTCCATTCAGGATTTCAACGTCCTCGGACAAAGACAAAAACGCGCATACATTAACAGCGATGATTAAACTCCTCTCTTTCTCTCTTCCCTCCGCTCGTCATTTCTAGAAGCAGAACCTTTCTTGCTTTTCTGACCCCCAGCACCCCTGCAGTGTTTTATATCTCGCGGCCCAATGCGCAGACCTCTTACCAACGCTGCCCAGGAACTGTTCGCCGGAGGGCCTCCAATTGCCTCCGTTGCTGCTGCTGTTGTTGCCGACCCGGAGCCGTGGCCGACGACGTCGCCATCGCAGCAATTTGCTGCTGCTGCTCTGCAGCAGCAGGAGCAGGTGGCTGAGCTGCACTTTTCTCCGTGCGGGCCGCTCGGCCCAATAAGAGTCCTGCACCCGCTACCTTTGCCACTTTCACTGCCAGCAGCGCACAGCGACGCGCCAGCCCGGCCCGCGCACGGCGGCCACCACCCCGCGGCGACTGTGTGCCCTCGCTGCCACCGTTGCCTTGTGCAAAGGACGTTTGCTTCGGTCCCGTCAGCGGATGCGACGACAGCCGGACGACACCCGAGCTGCTGCCCCCCGTTGATCGAGTTTGCAGGCCGTCCACGCTGCCGCTTCCGCTGATCCCAACACCAGCCGCGGAGCCTCTTTGCATTACGTGACCTAGCCCCGACGGGAGCAACGACAGGAGACGCTCCCACGGCCACATCGCCAGCGCGAGCACGCGGTCGGCCTTGTGCGACGACAGCGGCGATGTGCAGACCTCAGACTGCAGTCCACACTGTTCCCCCGCTGCGAGCGCGTGAGATAGCGAGTCCCGGACCGACCGGCCCGCAGACACAGCTGAACGCAGACCGGACTTAGCCGCACCCATAGCCCCCACGATAAGACCGGTGGAGTTGCACCACAGGCTCATGCAGCAGCCTAGTGCGGAGAGCAGCGCACCGCGGCCTCCGCGCCACAGGGCCATGTAGCCCCTGTACAGCAGCACATAGGGACTTGCCAGGCGCCACGGCAAGCCTGATGCCGACGGGAGGCCACCCATGCACGATGCAGCGTCCGCGTCGGCGGCGGCAGCGCGAGCGGCGTCCGCGCCGCGGCCGCAACCCATGGCGACGCCCAGAGCGTCCGTTGCGAGAGGGCGTTCGGGCGGTGGACGCTCCAGGTTGCCGTGAACCCGGGTTAGCAGGTAGTCGCGGAAGGCAGCCTGCGGGTCGGTCAGTTGTCAGAACATCATTGAAGCTGCTACAAGCACAATAGCTACGGGCCATCCGAGTAGTGCGCTCATTTAGCTCTACAATAGTCCGTTCCCTCGCGTGACGGCGGGATGTAAAAGGTCGCATCCACCTATCCATCCAACCAACCAAAATCGCCAATGCATCGATGGTAATACGCGACGCAAACGACGTCGTTAACGACAGCAGTTGTCGCACACAGGTTACAACGTTTCCTTCTACACAAACACCTTAGTCCTAGGCATGTATACGTCCACTAACCAACCATTTGCCTTGCAGGTTGTACGCGTATATGAAACCCTGGGGCCGTAGCTGTCCCCTCTGTAGCCCCTCTGCCTCAGCCTCCGTGCCCTTCCAGACACCCCCACCCTCACCTCAGCCTTCTGCACCATGGGCCATAGCGCCCGGCGAATGCCCAGATTAACAATCCCCGACGGCACGCAGGGGTCCTCAAAGTACACATTCACCACCTCCACGGCCGGGTTCACGGTGTCGAAGATGCCCTTACTGGACCTGCGATAGTGTGCATGTGCAAACACAGAGGAACAGACAACAAGTATCTGCAACCAGCAACCCCTGGTGAGCCATCATCCGGGCCGTTTTATAACGTGTACGTGTACACATACACGTACATACATTACAGTGCTGATTTATGTACATGTCTCCAACCCTGACGTCTCGCGGCTCCGCTCGTTTAACGACGTCACGTCACCACGGGTAGCACTCGCTTTGGCTGTCTCGATGTACGCAGTGCCCCCTTCAAACAAACAAACAAACATATACATACATACCTGATAACATATCCCGAAACGAAATCAGTAACACGTACAGTCCGGCTGCCAGCTGGCGGAGGCGCCGGATGGGTGCAGGCACGGGAGATGCAGTAGCAGCCGCCGTCATCAGGCTTAGCCCAGCACCGCCGCGCGTAAGTGTACTCACGGCTGGCCATGGGCGGGGGAAATTTCGTCCGCGCGTACATGAAGGCCGACCTGCCACCAGCCGACCTGGCATCCGCCTCCGCCAGGCTCACGCCGCAGGGCCCCGCCGCCTGCCTCGCGGCCGACGCGGGTACCAAAGCTGGTGGTGCAATCGCCAACTGGCACGCTACCGACTCGTCCCATGTCCGGCGAAACTCGACATCGTAGGTAAAGTCCGTAATCTGCGCCGTCGTGGCGGTCTCGTACACAGTCTTACTCTTGTACATGAACAAACCCTTGCGGAGATGCCGTCGCCAAGCCCAGTAGTGGAGGCCGGGCTTGTGCTCCTCGACCACGAGTTCCCATCCTAGGCGGTAGGTCTCGGGGCGGTCATAGGGCCCAAAGAGGCTCGCGGGGGCTGATCCTACTGCGGAGGGGCTGCCTGCCTGACTGAGGGCCAGCTCAGCAGAGGCCTCCCCAATCATGGCGCCAAACTGCAAAAGGTGCGCATCCGTAACCACCTGGACGGCAGGGCGGGCAGCAGGGCGGGCGGCAGGCAGGCAAGGCGCAGTGTAAGTCACAGGTGTGAAACCAGTGGTAAGAGGCGGTTGCAGTGTTGTTGGCGTGGTAATCGTGGTGGTGGGGGGGGGAAAGGTCGGGGCAGCAGGCAAGCAATACAGAACGACATCTTCAGTGACGAACAAAGGGGGAACAGCAACGTCAACGGACCACCAACGTTAAGCGGTGCGCGTCTCTCCCCCGCGCCCCCGGGAGCAAGGGCTGGTGGCCATCACCGCCACCTCTTCTCGCCAGGTAGACGTCGCACGGCCAGACCTCGGCCCAGTGCGGTCAACAGGGTTGCATGAGCAACGCGTCAACAGCCGCAGCAAATGGATCTGGCATTTCAAGACATGTCGCGCTCATTTCCAGACAGAGTTGCCCAACCATGGGAGGCGTTATCCACGGGCATATCCCGCTTTCCACTGGATAGAGGGCAACATGTTGACCCGAGTGTCAGTGTTTCGAAAGAGGGCAACCTCACATGCGACGGGCGTACGATACCTCGCAAGTACGACACTGCTCACCTGTCGTACGGCACTGAAGAGCGCGTCGGTCATCTCATGAGACAAGCAATCCACCGCCTGAAAGCCGTTGTAGGACAGAATCTCCAAGCGTTTGCCAGCAGCTACAGGGTCATAGCGACGGCACCCGGACACCCTCAGGATTGAGTGAAATTTCCAAACTGAGAAACTTCCAACTGCAGAACAGCCCTGACACGATGTTTCCCACGCCGGCACATGCCAGACGAAAAGCGCATATACCGGAGCTGCTGCACAACCTGGCGTAGGTTTCATAACATGATATCGCAAAAGACCGCAAGGCAACAAGGAAACAAATCGAAACCTGAGGGAAGAGCAACCTGCGGCAGTGGTGTACATCCTCACCGGGCCCGATCTACACGATATTGGCGCCATTCCAAGCATCACCCTCGGCCATCCCCAACGCCAACACCGTTCACCTTACCAGTGAATTGTAAATAAAAAAAACTCCTCCGTCCCCAGAGGAACTGCCCCTTCCACGCGACCCAGCCCCATCGCATTGCACCGCCAATCATCACGCCACAGCGACGTGTGGCGTGCAGGCACGTACAACACACCCAGTGACGTTTACACCGATAGGCACCTACTGGCGGAGCTCATGCTGGACTCCGAGGGTGCCATCGCCACCAGGTGCTGTCCAGACGTTATGCGGGACATGCTGGGCTGCCAACGGGGACCGCTGGCGCAACCGCCGCTGCCCTTTCGCTGCAGCAAGCCCCGCCGACCGGCACCGCCACCACCCGCGTTCTGCTGCGCACCGGACCGCAGGCTCGAGTCCATCGACAGTCGCGATGACACTATGTCCTGTGACAGGTGGGTGTTCCCGGGGGGACATGAAGATCATCAGCCTGCGAATAGTCGAATGTATGACTACGAGGACGAGCACTTCAAAGGTTAAATCGTGCTTAGGTGCTGCGGAGCCATAATGACCGACCGGCCAGGTGTGAGCCGCACATTAACGGATAGTCGATGTTTCCTTACAGCATATCATACGTACAGCAGGCGTTCACAGTTGCGCGGTTCCTCCCTAGGCGCACTTCCCTTTCTCAAAAGCATCTAAACTCGAGCCAACGAGACGCGGCTCCTCCTCCCCCGCCCTCTTCTACCGCATTACACGCCAGGTTAAGGCGCTGTCTTCCCTGCCGGCCCGTCAGTTCGAAGAAGTAACATTCTGCGCATACCTCTGACTTGGATGAACGGCTGATGAAGCTTCGCCTGCGTGAAAAGTTGGATACGGCAGCGCGCAGCGAGTCCTTCCCACACAGCCTCCGAGCCTGCGCGCGGCCCTCCGATAGCACGCGGCGCAGGCGCTTGAACAAGCCCCCACCCGGTGCGCGCTGCCCACTACTGCCGGCAAAATGCGGTTCAAGTTCGATGCTGTGTGAACCTGGCCCCCGAGAGGGGGTCATATTCTGGATGCTCGGCACTGAACTACCGACAGCTCCTACAATCAGAAAAACAGTTATGCGGGGCCCAACATAAACTCCGTTCTGCATAAGTAGAAAAGCAACGGCATTCCCATGGCTTGCACTCAACGCTACAATAATTATGAGAGCCTGACGTGGCAATTCAGCTACAAGCTACACTCACCTGCAGGTGACGCGCTGGCCATGCGAGTCGTCCTGCTGAGTGCTGGATACAGGAAAAGACCAAGGAATGCCACCATCCATTGCGCAGGACTGCCAAGCTGCAAAGGGACAAAGCGGAAAAGCTTAGTGTCGACGCGGCCCTTGACGCTTGCCCTGTGGAGCTTACCACAGCGATTGACTCCAGAAGCACATAAACGTGCCCGAAGCAGCTGTTGCTGCCCACGCTGGGTACAGCGCTGCACGAGGCACGGGCGGCGCTTTAGTTCATCTTACCAAGCGACTCACACCTGGTTAACTGTATGCAAAATACTGCCAAATCAATGCATGTAATGCCTATACATACCTGGATATTTGGCCTCGACCAGCGAGCACTGCATACAGGAAAAGGACGAGGAGTGCCAGGGGTAACGAAGCCCTCATACCGCCAGGCACAGATACATCCTGCTTTGTGCTCATTGTGTTGCCATACGGGTCTTGTTACCGAGGCACGGCTTCACTATTCAATTGTATGAAATGGCCCTTGGAAAACTTACACTAAACTGTTAGTGCCCAACCTCGCGTTATACCTACAGCAGTTACATAACTCATTTAAAACGTGGTCCAAAAATTGACAGGATGAGTACCTTTTCGTGCCGACGCTTTTGTGACATCAGACACAGCACTTCACCGTACATGGGACGAGACACCTGGCGGGGGTTCTTCCATCATCCCACAGGACAGTAAGTCAAGAAATATAAGCGTGATGCACTATGATTGCCAAAAAATAACATCTCATTTCCTGGGATGCGTATTAATGCAGCAGTTGTCACGGGCCTGCTGCAGGCAAGGTCCCTTAGTGTAATGTGTGAACTTGGACAGTCAAGAGGTTTGCCGAACATGCCTAAACACATGAAAGATTTTATTGTAGTACGGCGCTCTTTAATGCCCTGGAGGATAGCTTTATTGCATTTCCAGCCGATGAGCATGTTGGCTCGTCTAAGCACTATCCTCCATGGCCGTGTAACAAGGAAAAACAGTCGCTTTATCAGTCGCTGTAGCCCTTACGCGATAGCAGAAAAGTACGAACAGCTGTTATAACAACTTCTTACAGTTTAAGGGAGGTCAGGCGACGCTGTTAACATCTTTGATCGTAGGATCGCGTGCCCAAGAGCACCTCCTATCTTACTCGATGCCGTCAGAGAAGGCGTAGCTTGTCGTCAGCTGAGGACTAGCCGCTCGGCACTTGAGCGGAAACAAATTGCTGCAGCTACCGCGCTGGATTGGGCATAATTTAATACCTTACCTGCAACTGCGACCATCTTTTAAAGAGTCGGTATGGTCCAATATGCAACGGCAACATGGCATCGGAGTTGGCAATCGATGCGTCCACAACGGCGATACCTGAGCCTTGGGAGGTTTTCGATTAACCAGACCGAGGGCCCAACTTTCCTACATGCAAAGCTGACCCCAAGCTTGATCAAAAGGAACAAAGAAACCAGTTTCACGCCCTATGATTAAACTCGACCAATCTGAGACGAAATGATTACAATTAGAACCACCGTGCACGCATCCGTAGGCTTACCGTGTCAAAGCATCGATGGATGCCTGCCATCATCACACGCGTCCGTCAGTCCAACATTCAAAATGCATCCAGTCCCCATCCCGGCGTCATAAGCTCGTACACTCCATCCTGATGGACGCACCTTGCGGCGGCGTTAAGCACTCACGCTCGCCATGTAGCCTATCCCTTTCGCTCCAAAACACGAACACCAAAATAGCCACATATCCTCGAAGCATCACGGTCTTGTCCAACCTGCCGCGCGGCCTAGCACACGAACACCGCTACCAAATCCCAAAGGATTCCGAGTCCTACACGTTCCGATTGTAAATGCAAGCCCCGCCAACATCCAGCTCTACGAGCAACAGCATGATCACCAACAGCAGCACCCGGACAACACCACTAGGCAGCTGCGTGCTCCACACAGCCACCAAACAAACATCAAACAGCCTGACAGAACTGACCATGGCCGTGATCGGTAGCCAGCTCAATCTGTCCACCCAGCAAGCAACGCCACAGTAACGGCGGTAACAGCAGTAACATAAGCATCAGCAGCAGCAGGAAAGATGAACCCAAACCAAACTTTCGTTTTTTCTCGTCCTCAAAGGTCCTGTTCGTCCAAGCCACTGGCACATTCAGTTGTCACTCCGCATCGAGAGCACTAGGCTGCCGCCTCGATAAGCGATGATACATACATGCGTGCAAACCCGAAAACAATCCAGACCACTACTTGTAAGACCACAACCCGTAATCGTCCCATTACGCCATGCATCACCTCTGCAGCCTTTCGTCAACTTCGTCAAGACCAAAATGCCTTTTGGGCATATGCTGCCTTCGTCGTCTCTATACAAGGAGGAGCAGTAAAAGGATCAGTCAAATGCCTGTTCGTCGTATCGAACCGGGCCACCGTGCGACTCGGGGCAGCCGTTTCAAAGCGCCACTCAACAGAGTCCCAATGCAACACAACTGAGGCCGCCTTCCAGATGTGAATGATGGCCAAAACCTACATGGTCAACAACTCACAGTACGGTATTGTACGGAATGTGACGATGAAGGTCATCTGCGAATTAGAGACGAATAGACAAATAAGAGACTGCCGCATATGCTGCATAGGTACATCCCCATCGCACCCACATCCCCCAACCCCCACCTTCGCTGACAACCTTAGGAAGGAGACCCAACGAACGACTGACGTGGCTGCGCGACTGATATGTCGGACATAATTAGATCCACAGGACACATATACGCACTTGACGCTGCATCCGCCACCATACATACGATGAGTGCTTCCAGCGGAGCAGTAAGTGCGGGGCTTGCCGCAGCATTCCCCCGGCAATGGACATGCGTCACAGGCCAATACTAGACCAGCACGAGACCGAGCCACCGAATCAGGAGCCCCGTGGGGCGCCACATACATACGGAGGTGGGACGGCGGGACGTCGACAGACGACACACGCCGCCTCAGTTGCAGCGGAGGGATGCACGCAGCAGCAGCAGCAGCAGGCCGCGCACTTTCTGTAAAAAGCCAAGCTGTAAAGCGAGCCGCCAAGCCAAACTGTTTTTCTCTAGTTGAATGTTTGCTTCTACTCACACTGCTTGCCCAACCCAATATGCTAGGCAGATCCTATTCAACCTGCTGTCGCACGACTTGAACGTAACAAACTTTGTAAAAAAAGTTCATTATTGCCCTGCGCAGCAAAAAAGACCGCGGGCGCCGTTGCTGCGGCGTCCAGCGGCAACTGAACGAGTTTGTGCAAGTAAACTGTCCACTTGTTGCTTTTGCAGTTCTGTGTTTCTGTATCTTTGACAGTAGTAACCAGCCCACGGAAGCTGGGCAGCTGTTCCACCGCCACTTTAAGCTTCCAACGTTGTTTAATTCCACGTGGTAAAAAGGCCCAAATCTTGTCGCCGCCGCAACCGGTGGTGCTCCGCCAATGAACACACCAAAGTCCTGAGGCTCCGAACAAAACGCCCGCGCCGCCCATAGAGGATCGCCCCGCCAAGGCCGCGTGCGGTTGGCGAATGAAAAACCGCCGGATGAGGTATTACCCGCCAGTGACCATCATTTTGCGTCCCAACGCCGGTTCCGCACTATACGCCGGCATCATGTCATTAGCGCAGCATGATGACAATGGCCGAGGTGTTATCCGCATCACCGCTCGGAGAGTTGATACCCAAATCCACCGCATCCTGCATGGGCGTACGGCAAATGCATACGGCACTTCAAGGGCACATCCGACAAGCCAACCCACAGCTAAGCTGCAGTCGCCGTTAACCTACACGGCCATCACACGGTCCATCCGCTGGTCACCCGCCTCGCTAATGTATATTTCAGGTGCAAATACAGAGGAGTATGTCCGCAGGTGCATGATCGGCCTCCATAAGAGCAACCGGGGTGAGAACCACAAAGGAAACCGCGCCGCAAGAGCACCGCACATTCCAACAATCTGTTCGCGCCTTGTGCTGCTTCCAAAACCAAAACTCCCCTGCCCAGGGCAGCACCCAGTCGGCAGGCGGCCCCCAAGCCACGTCAGGGCGAGCAGAGCACGTAGCCCCGCACACGCCTATGTGCTGCAAGGCCCCTAGGCCTCAGCATTGCGCATGAGCGGTCAGCGCGGAGGGCCCAACCTCCCCTCCAACGCTACATCCCGGTGCCCGAACGCGGTAGCAGCCAGCACCCATTCCAGCCTTTACCCCTTCTCCTCACCTCCACAAGCATCTTTGCTGCCTGCGCCGCTGTCTTGCCCTCCGCCGCCGCCTCCATCACCCTGTTGACCACCTCCTGGCCGTCCATCACATCCCACACGCCGTCTGAGGCCAGGACCTACACCAACGCCAAAGATTGTGGTGAGGTCAGCCTCGAGAGACAGGAAGCATGAAAGAATAAGCGCGACACCGCCAGAGGGGGGCAAAAGTGGGGAAAGACGAACCAGGAACGAGTGAAGCTGCTGCCAAGAAAAGAGTGAACAAAAAGCAGAACTGACCAGTAGGCGAAGGGGGTGGGTGCACGTGCGCGAGACGCGGTCACCGGTGGAAGTGGCCTCTGGAACCCGAGGCACTGGAGATTACCTGCCCTGTCCTTCCTTCCCTCCTCCCTTCCTTACTTTCCAGGGTACGGAGCCCCCCCCCCAACTCTACGGCCCGCCGTCCGATACACCCCGTGTGTTGCGTGCATTCCCCTATCCCACAAAAGAACTTCCCCCACCTGAACCTGTAATTAGACACTATCACTCAGCACCCCAGAGCATCGACGTGATCGCCGTACTCTTCATCACGGGTCCATGGCCCATCACCATCACCATCCCCATCACCATCCCCATCCACCACCAGCCGGCCGCAGCCACCACTTACCAGGCAACAGTCCTCGGGTTTCGCCTCCAGAGACACGATGTACGGCTCCGTGAGGACGCCGTACTGCGCCATGTGCTTGTGGCCCAGGGCCCGGGTCACCGCAAGCTCGTAGCCGTGCCACGGCCCGGACAGGACCTGCAGGTACCCGTCCCCCGTCGCCCCGTCCTTGACGGTGACTACGCCGGGCTCGGTAGCCTGGCGGCCGCGAGGTGGCGACACGGTGGCCGAGGAAGAGATGGGTGTAAATCCCAAGATGGGTGAAAAGCGACGAGGATTGGAGGGAAGCAGAAGCGGTACGCGTTCGTACGGATGGATGGCCGTACATTATGCAATGTGCGCGCGTTGGGTGTCCCGGCCGCCGCGGCGCAAATACATTCCTGCATTTCCCTGGTGCTGCGAATTCATTCAACCATTTTTATCCCGCGGCCCCCTTCCCCGCGTCTTAAGCAACGTAAAAAAAACCCAGACCCACCACGACCCCACACGGGCCGCCACTCCGCACCCGTACCTTTATCCTTTTGGCTTCCTCCTCGTTATGGCCGTTGTGGCGCATTGTCAAGTTCCGTGACGTGTAGGATGTGCCTGCGAATCAACCCAACGGCCACAACGATATCGCCGGAAGGGGATCCGCCAACGGGAACACATACATACATACACACATACACACATACACACACACACTCTCTCAGGATGTAATGTGATGATGTGAATGTTAAGAGGCACCAGTACGCAAAGAGGGCTAAGAGGGGGCCCCAGATTCCGCCAGAGGGCTGTTAACACCCTCCCCCAACCCCACCAAAATAACTTCTTCTTATTCCCCACAGCAGCGGTAAGTAGCAGTGGTAAGTCGCAGCAACAGCAGCAACGTACAGAGCCCGCGGACCCCTCGCCGGTGTCGCGACGATAAGACGACCCCTATCCTAGGATCATCGGCTACGCTAACAGCCAGCCGCCTCTTTCCCTTCCAAAGCCCTTCATTCACCCTCCCTTTCCAGGCCCCTCCCCCCAAATTCCCATTTGGGCCCGAATCCGGATCCTCTCTACGACATTCACGTCCTGACCCCCCCTGTTTCTTCACCCGTTGCGTGAAAGTGAAAGACAAACAAAGTGTAGCGAGCACCCAAAAACACTCATTCATACACTCGTGCTCGTGATCGTGCTCGTCTCGCGGGTGGGGAGGGGAGGGGAGGGGAGGAAGGACGCACCCGTATCAGACCCCAGTACAGCCGCGCTGTCTCCCACGTTGGCGAGCACCACCGTCCTGCCCTGAATCATGGCACACGTGCACGTGCAACCGAACTCCAACATGCGCTCCGGCCCCGAGCCATTGCGATACACGACGATGCCGCCGCTGGAGGCCAGGGTGTAGGTGGTGGAGCGTCGCCTGGGCAGCAGTAACACCACAACAGGAACGAAGACGGGAGAGAAAAAGAAGGGAGGAAGTGGCGTGGAGTGGAGTGGAGCGTGTCAAGGAGGAGGACATTTCGGAGACATTTCTTGTTATCCACGCCACCGACAAGTTCCATTGGGCACGTCCAATCCTCCCCCGCGCATGGAGGGGGTTTATGCAAACAAAAGACAGGGTTGAATAGCGCCTGGTGCCGTGCTGGGTCTGAGAAGGGTTACTAGTGCTCACCAACAGGGCCAGAGTGTCGTGTACATTCACAGATATACGTACAGTCAGAAAGGAGGAAGGCACGGAGGAGAGAACGTGTGGAAGCGGAAGCTCATTCGGGGATGTGACGACACACGGCACACATGTTGGTAACTGATTCAACCCCGTCCGGTGATTACGCGTGTTTGCTGGTATATGCGTATGTGCAAGTAACGTGGCTGCGTGATGTTCCCGCCCAGTCTGGGGTCCAACTGCAGATCGCCTACCTGTGGCCGCCCATGCTTATAGTCCTGGGCGGGTCGTCGTACAACGACAGGGCCGCTGTGTGGCCTTTCTGGAAGGCAGCCTGCATCAGCTTCTCCGCCTCCCCCCGCATGTCCCTAAGGAGCCTATTTCGCAGGGAGCTGGTGTATAGGTGGCGAACGAGCGTCTTCCCAGCGTAGCAAGCCGCCTTATCGCCAAGGACACCGTGCCCTGTACGAACCCAAGCGAACCGGCTTATCGTGAGAACGAATATTTGAGAGAGGTGGGAGAACGAGGATGGCATATGCTCTGGCGCGTCTGTCAGGGCATCGCAAGGGTTTGCCGTTGGCCTGCGCCCGGTGAGGGCGGCACATACGATTAAGGCACTTGTACGCATGTCAAAGAATTTGGCATATAACTTCATACATAGCAGGCCGCCAAGCAAGGTTTCGGGCTTCCAGCAAAGCCAACACACGTGTCCAACAACACGTTCCTAGACCCCGAGCCTCAACGGTTCACTATGTTAACTAGCAATTATAGTGTAAGAAAATTTCCGCTCAACCTTACCGTCGCAAACCAGAGCTATATACATTTGACGATGCCCCGGCGGAATTTCTCCCGGAGCATAAACTTCTTGCACGACGCAGTAGTCCTGATTTGTGTCGCCATAACGATTACCGGGGCTTGAGGCCCAGCCGACATCCAGCGGCATTTTTGAGGCGTCGAGCCAGGTTTCACCCTCAAGGGCTGTGCACTTAAGGGGTACTCAGCTCAATTTGTGATACAACTGAAGTAGGAAGTTCTTGGTGATAAAGGTGCTAGGGCCACCAACTGCAAGCGCGAAGGTCGGAAGCTGTTCGGGGCTCCTAGAGAGATTGCACAATGCCGGATTCCAATACGTTAACTAGCTTTATCGGTTTGAAATGCAATTGTTATGTTATGGGAGCTCGCGCAACGCTGCGATGAAGCCTGGTGATGATGTCAGTACGGTCGTCCATGTCAACATTCCTCAAGCTCCGCACTAAAGCAACAAGCCGAGATTTTCATGCAGATTGGACAGCCCTGGACTTATTCGTATCACCTGGACACTCGACGGAAGCAATGACGTTTCCGTTCCGTCGATACCGGTACGTCTTACATTCACATCCATCGAATGGCACAATATCAGCACCAGAGTATTGAAAATCATCTTCCGGGAAACCAGGCTTGCCAGCTTGAAAACCCCCGCGTTCCAATATCGCCCTTTCGCCGGTTACTAGGTAGCTACTTAGTTGCACACGCGCGCAGCTGCAGTTATCCTCAGACGGCATTCGGTCGTTGAGGGAGCAGGAAGTTATAAAAAGCATCCTCCACGAAGAGGGGGCCGCCCGCCGCTGCGTTATCGCCGGGTCGCTTCCAGCCAACCCACGTCCCTTGCTGGATCTTTTTCAAATCCTCGCCTGCAAGCAAAATCCAAATAATAGCATCATTAACGTGTGTCCCTTTTCAAACGTATTACCACGCGCCAGCTACGGTGCCTGAACGCGGCAATATGAGCGCCTGTCCTCAGTTGCCTAAGGAATATCTAAGCCCCACGAAATTGTCCTATTCTACCGTTCTCCACTACGGAATCGCCTCCTAAAAAAGTCCTGCAAGGGTCGTTCGTTTCCCAGGTGGCGCAATAGTTGACCTGGACTCCATGCGGGGCCACGTTCTCACGCCCGAGGGTCACGTTCTCACGCCCGAGGGTCACGTTCTCACGCCCGAGGGTCACGTTCTCACGCAACTGCCATATCTTTTAACGGCCTGTCGCCCGTCGACCCCTCTGCATTTCCCTTCCCGTTGAAAAGTGTCCTCCACCCGCGAATTCCCTTCCAGAGCCCGACGGGGCAGGCTCACCGCCAGTGTAGTGGGGGTCCAGGATGAGGAACGCCGCCTCCCCCGTCTGATCGTTGAACGTGACTCCTAACAGCGTGTAAGCCAGCACGCCACCACCGATCATGACGGGCGAGCCCATCGTCGCAAAGTGCGCCGCCAGCTCGCGTGCGTGGCTGGGTATGTCCGACCCCCGGTTGACAGTAAGAATCTTGGAGGTCACCCCCAAGTACTCGTCCAGAATGTACGACAGCTCGATCGCACCAATCCAGTTGCACGAGCCCACGAAGCTGGAAGGTTTGTCTCCCAGACAGGCCAGCACCTGCTGTATGGTCCTGTCGCACACGCGCCACATAATCCAGCGCAGCGTGAAAAACGAACATGGGAGTAACATGGCAGTAATCTCTGCTAATATGATGTGTGAAACAGGGGGGTGTATCTTCGCCCGTGGCAGCTACCCTGCGAAACCCTGCCTTCCCCGGTATTTCGGGGCACCGTCATCCAGTCACCCTAGCCGACTTCTCAGTGGATCGCTCAGGTTCCGCACCCACCACCAGCATCCAACGGAATCTGCCGGGTCGACAGCGGCCCAACTCCATTCCTGGTCGGCTCGCAGGTTAACTTTATCCCAGGTCACCACCGTCCATCAACTAGGGGCGCAATACCTTCCACCATCGGAAGGATTTTTGACCCTAATGGGTATCGATCCCGGGATCTCCCGGGGGCAATGGTCGCGCGTTACCAGTAGTGCCAAACCCAAGTGCTAATACATATAGTCCGTGGCCTCCCGGCTTTGACGGACCCCCCACCCCTTCGTGCGGCACTTGTAACTTGTAACTTGCTAATTAAGAGGGATTGGAGATCTGCCAGCCCCCCGTGGAAGAAGAAGCATTCCCGCATATCAGGCCTGCTGTCCAGCAAAGCACTTGGCTGACCCTGGCTGTGGCTGGGACGACTGGGGCTTACTTAGCCGCAGGGAATGAATCTCGCCGTCCCATCCACCATGTTGCGTTGCAAATACACACAACGCAAACCAAGTGGAGTCAGGTTATAACGGGCATATCACCGGAACTTTTCTCGCAGCGGAGGGGGCCCCCCGGTTCCAAGTACTGGCTCACCAAAAGCCCTCACTTAGAAAAGTAGGGGGACAAACCACCAGAGCATAACCGGACGACCCAGATATAAGGGCGTCGTACAGTAGTACGACAACTCCTGCCGTGTCCCCACAACCCGGCACAACTGTTGCGTGTTTCCCAGACAGCCGTTGAATTCCGCACCTAACTCTGAAGTCCTTGCATTACGCAGCCTAACTTGCGCCGCCTTACACTGCACACTTACACCAAGCCGTTGCCTGGCTCCAGTATTTTACTTAGCTACCCCCAGCCCCACATCCAACAACCGCATGTGCACATATGCATCCAGCAATACGGGGTCACAGCACCTGTGCGACGGGATGGGCTTGCTGGTGTACTTCTGCAGACGGAACCACGAGCATATGGTCTGCAGCGAGCGGTACGCGCAGCCCCAGCCCGCATCGTTGAACCGGTCCTGCATGTAGTGGCAGTACTCGTAGGAGCCCTGCACCAGCACCGAGGTCCCGCCAATGCCTGACACACCACCCGCATGGGCAGGAGGCCCACGGGGGGAGGTGGGGAAACACATGCAGCACACGTGTTATGTCGCGAGGGTGCCACCCAGAGTCATGCCCAGGTTGGGATGTGGGGGATGTGGGGTATGAGGGGGATGAGGGGAGGAAGCAGGAGCAGCGGCAGCAGCAGCCGCTGCCAACAGCAACCCATCCATTGCCCGGGGCCCCCAGAGATGATGCGCCTCAGAGGTTGGACACAATAAACTGACACACCAAGAAGAAGATGAGGGGAAGACATCGGCCTGCTTTTCCAGGGCAGGCACAACGGTAACGTGCACATTCAGTCGCAGATGTACAAGGAGGTAGGGAAGCACACTGCGTTAAAAAAAGCGCGCGCGACGTGCAGCCGTTGTGTATTTCTCGTTGTACGTGACCGGCCGCCCCCGCCGCGGGAGTAAAACACCCAATCCCGGTATGTGGTACGTGGTGCTTCCATCCCACAATGGGAAACACCTGAGAGTTCTTCCCTGTTGGCAAACAAGGTTAACAGGTTGCAGGTCGTCCCAGACCTGCAGATCGAGCAAGCGGAGGAACGGCCCCATACCTGGCGGCGGCGCAAGGCCTTGATGGACGTCGCGCAAACGCACGACCGACCCGCCACCACCACCACCACCGCCGCTGCTGCCATCGTCGCCCGGGCTCGGGCCCAGGTCTACCGCATTGGCGCTCCGCAGCAGCGGCCGATTGGGCGGCAGCCCGAACAGCGCGTGGAGCCTCTGGCGGCTGGCCACCAGTCGCTGCTCGTTGCGCTCCATGTCATCCTCCAAGGACGGGTACAGCACGGTGAGGTGGTGGGAGAGCCCTGGGGGAAGGAAATGGTAGGCGCGAACCTGCACAGTGGTTTCACCCAATAAGAAAATGAAACAACAGCAGCAACAGGAACAACAGCAACAATGGCAACTACAGGAACAAAAGCAATAACAGCAACAAAGCACAAAATGCGACCCCGTAAACGGAAATGGGATCCAGGCCGGATTCAGAATAATGGAGGCCGATGGACCTGGGATGCGGTGGGACGCGGCGCGGCAGTACGCGGGTAGTATTCTCCGGGTGAGGTACTTGCAGGCACGGGTGGTGCGTGTGTGCCCTCGGGAGCAGCCCGCGTTGCATGCATGCAGCGAACGCACTCATGTCCCTCCCATCGCGTATTTAGAATCAAAAACGTGACGCGAGGGAACCCGCACCGGGAGAACTCTCCCACCCTCCAGCTTCGCGAGAACACGCTGCGCCGCCCGAAGCTGCCGTACAAGACCCCTCGAAAGCGACGCCGCTGCGGCCCCTAGCCTGCAGCTCCGCCGCACGTAGCAAAGGACATCCAGGCTCACTGTTACCGTACGGCAGGTTGCCGTACTGCCAATGCCGCTACGCCCCGCCGCTGCTGGTATTGCTGCTGCTGCTGCTGCTGCTGGTGATGGTGATGATGATGGTGATGATGATGCAAGCGGTCGGTACGTGAATTCAAGGCCACTTGGCGGGGCTGCGAGCTCAGCGGTACCCATCAGCGGTGAACAGCGCGTTACAACCGCATCGCCGCTGCTACTGCTGCAGCCGGCGGCACTAGCTGATGCTCCTGGCAATGAGTCCACCTGTCCATGGGACTTGGGCCTCAGGAGGACAAGGGAAGAAGCAGCCGCCGCCGCCGCCGCCGCCGCAGCAGCAGCTTTTCCAGGAGGGCTGCAGGACCAGGGAGGAAGGAGATATCCTTACATGCAAAAAAGCAGAATTGTGACTATCAAAGTCACCTTGAGGTTGCCCAATCCGCCCAATCAGAAACCATGTGAACATGTGGAATTCCCAAACCCTTCCGAAAGGGAAGGAGGGAAACCTAGCAACCTATCACCACCAATATCACTCGATGTCACCACCGCCAGGCCTCGCCAGGGGCTCATGGCCGGTCCGCGGTTTCCGTATGGGGGACACACCAACACCCCACAAAAAGGCGCCGATGCTACGATGTACGACGGTGATGTAGTCTGCGGAGCTTCCCGGCCGCAACTAGCAGGCGACAACCGCTCGTTTACCGCACGTGCACACTCGGATAGACAGACGGACAGACGAACTCCCGGGCGCTAAACCGGGTGGCGCCCCTATAGGCCCTATCCCCATAGGCCCGGCCCAGCCGGACGCACGTGTGCGCGACTCAGGTAACGTGTCCGCCGCAACCCCGCGGCCCCGCTGGCTGTGTGCGCAATGGAACGGAAACCTAGGACGCGGACATAATCCGCAGATAACCTTTTCCAGGCCTTCTGTCCTCTGCCATTAACCGTTTCCCCCCCCCCCCTTCCCCCCCGGCCCAGCCAAAGCCCCAGCCTAACCTCGACCAACTGGGGAGGTGGACATTTAACACCCACACGGCCCAGTTGGATGTGATCCCAAACCTCAAACCTGGCCCCGGGGCACGCACCCGCACGCGTTATCAACCAGAAATGTCAGTCCCGGTGTTTCTAGCTGCCGTATCACCGTGTCGAATGCCACCTGGCGCGCCACAGTGAGGGGGGTGAGGCCCTCCTCCACCACCTCCAACTTGACTGGCAGCTCGCATCTGTTTGACGGCAACGTGAGGTCCGGGACAAGGACAGCCGAATGTCAGGAGGGTAAATAGATGGATGGGTGAGTGGATGTGGGTGAGTGGGTATAGCGTTGTGGGCGCGGTGTGGGAAAGGAGAACCGTACCCGGACTCGGTGCGGGTCGGGGTGCGCGTGGAGTTGGGCAGAACGCCTTTCCTCTACGGCGTTCTACGTCCCGAGACGGCACCACTCCGGATAGCCTCTTCCTAAAGCAATGGAGCGGGGACTTACCGCAAGATGCGATATCCTTTGAGCCAGTCGCTGAATGAAGCTATTCGGGTAATGTCCACCACGGGTCCTGCAGACCCGTCTGGAAGGCAATTGGCCGCCTGGAGCTTCCCATCGCTCGTGTACGCGGCAATGCACGTTCCGATGCAGAAACCAGCCTTTCGGACCTCCGCAGCGGCGTAGAGGGCATTGTCCTTTGATTGTGCAAAGGCCCCCAGTAATGCCAAAGGCGCGGGGAGCACATCCGCAACCTCTGTATGGGAAGTGTCGGGCGAAATGTGGAAGACGCTAAGGAAAAATTGAACCTTACAGCGCCTTATGTACCTTGAAGCTCGGTTCCAGTCGCTGCACAGAAAGCGTACCCCAAGACTGTTACGTCTAGTTCATCGCCAATGCCGATCAGCACAGCGCTTTTCTGCAATGTTACTAAACATTCCACCTCGTTAGTAATGCTAATACGGTCCATATCAAAACGATTCTGTCACAGCTGATGGCAGCAAAACTTTGGCTATGATGTCAAAGGTATTTCGGCTGCATCCGTTATCATAAGATCACATGGCACCATCGTCGGTGCAAAACTTGAGGCGTCCAGAAAGCGCCATGCATAAGACCGGCCTTAGTACGACTTAACCGACGGCGGTAACACACAGGGTCTGCGGTACAATGCCACAGCGCGCATAATGCTGCAGTGCTGTGTGATGCCCAAACTGACCTTACGATAGAGACGCAAACTTGGCTGCCATTTTACGGCTAATAATATCTGGACACCGGTCGCCGCGGTTACCGAGCTTCCACCCGATGGCGCGCTGAAAGCCAGGGAAAGCCACGTGCGCCTGAACAATTGCGCGGACATCAGTGGCCCGGCAATCCTACAACATTGATACGAGTCATTTCCCTCGCTTACTGTTGTAGCTTCTCCCTCAACGGGCTGAGAAGGTTTTCCTATGACGGTCACCAGGCAGCTGCTCAGTCGCCGCAACCCCGCATATGGTGAACCCGAAGCAAAGAATAGCGGTTATTAAGCTCAAGGACACCGCATGGAACATAAAATATTTATATCCCAAGGACCCCCGCCGGCCCAGAAGGCCAGCAATTCTCTGAATATTGTGTAGAATTCTGGTCTGAGTTGGCCTGAACTAGCACACATTTTAGCCATATCGGTGTGCGTGTGTGGTGCGTGCGCACCGATATGTTAGTTGCCTCTATGACCGATTCACTGAAAACCGATACGGTTCAGTTGCCGTACATTCAAAACGGTCCACTCCGCACGCGCATACACTTTTGTAGTTGATGTCGTTACAGGGTGGTTAAGCTTCACCAGTGGCCTCCTTCCCGAGGCAATTCCCTGCTCTCCCCTGCTGGAGGGGCACCCTAATCCATTCACCCCATCCGACTTCAGTTTGTATTCGTTGGGTTTGGCAACTCACCACCAGCATCCAACCAAATCTTGCGGATCAACGGCCCCTCAACTTAGTTCCTGGTCAGCTCGCAAGTTGTTTTCATCACGTCCTACACCGTCCACAAGATGGGGGGCCACCTCCCATTTCACCACCTCTCGAACACCCGAGAGGTCGGCAGGCGGATTTGAACCCGGACCTCCGGGAGCAGAAGTCAGGCCTTAACCTCTGCCAACCGCCTGCCTTTTGTAGTTATATGCACCTTGACAGCAGTGGCCGGTCTTCACCGCCACTTCATACCCAATTCGACACAGCTTTCGACTGGTGGTGTAACTGGTGCAACGCCGGGTGTAACACCTCGATGCGTCCCAACCGCCACTGTCGCCACACCTCGACTCTCCGCTTCCCAGCAAACGGCCACAATTGCCAATAAAAAACGAAATCCCTACGAAAACTTGCGGCATGCGCCGCAGTTATGAGCTCAAATGTTCAAATGTTTTTTTACGTGCTTCAACCCTGCGTTACACCTTGGCGGCGATAATGCCACCACCACTGCAATAACTGCTTTTGCGCAGCCACCACCGAGACCACCACCATCACCATCACCATCACCATCACCATCACCATCACCATCACCAACAACAATGCCATTGCTTAAATATCGGTAGAGCGCCGCCGCTCCAAGGGGCGATCTCGCCAAAAAAATTCATCACTAACGTATCGAGCGTGCAGTATGTATCAAATCCAGCGGCTATTGGTAGCCGTTGCCAAACCACTCCTCAATCACGCCGGGCTCCAGGTCGAATCGAATGCTGATCTGCAAGGCCAGAGTGTGAAGTGAAGCACAGGGAACGAGTAAAGTGCTAAAGCCAGTGGCTGGCAGCCCGGCTGGCCGTACATAAGGCGGGTGGCACCACACGACAGGTCGCTGAGGGCAGGGTGGTGCGGGGTAGAGGTAGAGGTAGAGGTAGAGGGCACCGGCTCATGGTGCTACCCCGCCCACCCTGTAACTTCCTTTTCCAACCCAAAGGGATCGGGTTCACGGCCCCTTCCAAGTTGTCCTCCATAGGAACCCCCAGGAACCTCGAACCCATCCTTGACGTTCTCGCTGCTCTACGAGACCCCCCCGGCCCCCGGTGCGCCCCGCGCCGCCCTCCCAGATGCCGCCCCCGCTGCCACCTACCGCCGTCCCCACCACCGGCCGGGGAGGCAGGCCCTTCTGGCTGCGAGCCGGCTCCTTCAGGAATGCCCGGACCTTGTCGGTCTGCCCCAGTGCCCCCACCAGGTATGCCACACCGTCCAGCTTCTCCATATACTGATGGGAAAGGGCCGGGGGGGGGTTGCGGGGAGGTTGGAGGAATTACGTGCAAGAAGCCAGAGGTCATTGGCCGCCGTTCAGAGCACCACTCGATGGTTCGGGTTGCAGGGTAAGTAGCCGCTTAACCGGCTCGGGCCCGGGCGATGTCGCACGTTGCACTACGGAATCTGACAACCCGGAATGACATTAGAGAGAGGCGTGTGTAGGTGTGTTGTTGTGTAGTTGTGTGTCTCACGAGCAGCCCAACATCCAATCGCATTCTCATTCAACACGTCCTTAACCTAAACCTAAACCTAAACGTGGTGTCACAAATTACCGAGCATGGACATCCTGCGCAAGACCATTGGCCACAGGGCGCCACGTCACGTTAACGGTCAACGAACCCCGTGCATGACGACGCGACATTTACATTCACCCAGACATGCACAAGCATAAGTCGCACAGTAGTTTCCAGTACTTAAGTTACAAGTTACATGTGCCGCACGAGTGCGGGGGGGGGGTCTGCCAAAGCCTGAGGGGGCCCCGTGGACGGTAAATCGTTTTAGTGCGGTTACGTGGTGCACCATCATGGTCCTCCCTCGTTCGCTTGAGCACGCAGCGCCTTAGCGCAACTAAATTGCCTGCTCCTGTGGGAATTCGTGCAAGCACGCACGCACCTGCTGCTCGGTGAGCTTAAAGGAGCGCTGCTCCAGGTGGTTCCACATGATATTGAGGCACACGAATGTCTTGCCAGGAATGTCACGCCGTACGAATGACACGTCGTACGTTTTGCCGTACTTGGTGAAAATCAACTGTCGGAGTTCTTGAGCTGCGGCGACAAGAGCCAGAGGCCAACGTCACCATCAGTACGGCGGCCAGCGGCACGGTTCGTCAGGAAAGCGTCTAAAGCGCTTCCAAGTCCCCCATCCACCTACAAGGATCCCCTCGCTTTCGCTTATGACCTCGCACGAATCTCGCATATGGCCCCGGTGTGCTCATTCCAACTTCCGTGCATTCCCTTTTTGCTGGAAGGTGAACCGAGGTTTTATTTTCACTCCTCCCGGGGAGGGAGGGGGACCCTCAGCCGCCGGACGCCTATTGTATGACCTCCTGCAGAATCCTCCTCGATAGTCCACGCATACTGGCCTGTGTTCTACCTTCCACCTCCCCCCCTCCAAGGCCGTACACGTTTACACCAACCCCCCAAGCCCACCAGAAAGCAGTGTCCGCATCTCCTCCTCCGTCACCTCGCTGTCGTACGATGCCGTACTGGCGGCGATCTGACCGATCCGGCGATTGAGCGCCGCCGCCAGGTCCCCGTCGTCCACCTCACTGAATGATCTAGACAGCGGTGAGGTGCCGTCAAAGCCGCTGTTGTCGGCGGCGTTGTCCGAGCTGTCCAGGTTCTCCAGGGAGGGACGTGCGCCGGCGGGCACGCTGTTCACGCGAGCCTAGGTGAGCACAAGGTGAGCAGCAGGAGGGCTGGGTTATCCCGTAATGCGCAGCACGACAGCACGGCAGGCGACGTGGCAGAAGGGCGCGTTGCAGTAGGCGTAAGAGGCAGCAGGTACGCAGCTGGCATGCTGCTACGGCACGTTACAGGGCATACCGTAAGGATTAGCGCGGCCTCAAAGACCAGCTTTAAGACACATCTCACTAGAAGGCGGATAAAGTTGTGATTTGGGTTTTGTACGGGGCGGGGTGTTCGCATTCATAAGCCTTTGCAGCTGCTGCAGCTCTAGTAGGAGGCGGCTGGTGTTGGCGAGCCTGTCCCCGCAGACGATCGCAGGTCATACACACCTGCAGGTCGTCGAGGGCGCGATCCACATTCCCGCTGCTGCTGCTCTCCTCCACTGCGCGGAGGGGAGGAGGGAGGAGGGAGGAGGGGCGCCCGCAAGCGGTGATGCAAGAAACCACGGCACCCAAGGACCACCATATGCACATACACATACCCCGAACGCGTATACATACAGATTGGATTAGGGTGCCCCTCTCGCAGGGGAGAGCAGGGAACTGCCTCCAAGGGAAAGGGGGCCGCTGGTGAAGCTATACCACCCTGTAACAACATCATACAGAGGACGTGGACAAGGGCTTGCGACGCAATGACATGCGATGTGGGTCCGTTACACGTGACGGCCTCGTCCGCCACGGTTGCAACGTCACAATTGAGGAGAGCGATGTTGGGGGATTTTGGAGGTCGCATCCCTCACCATGGGACTGACACCCGGATGCACAAGCTGAAGTAGTGGGGGCGGGTGGCAGGGCACTGAAGCTGAGCAAGCGCGTCTAAAAGCTGTTGAAGTGAGAAATAGACGCTGGAGATCCGGGGTGGAGGCGAAGGGTCTTCCCTGGTCCGCACTCTACCCATGATGGTAGCAAGGTGAAAGAAAGCTGGTAACGTCAGAACATTCCCCATGCAAACGAATTTGGTGGAGATTTCATACGTCTTCTGGAGAGTATGAAAGCTATGCGATAGAGGCGAGCCGCTCTTTGTAATGCAAGTGGGTTAACCACGGCCACGCGGGACGTATGGCGCAGGTGGAGAGCCACGTCACACAAGGCGAGCAGTTCCACAATGCCTAGCTCAACAGTGGGTGACATTTGAAGTGCGAGGCTCGTGCTACCTAGATGGGCCCAAGAGCTCTCGTCGCCTTTCGACTGGTGACCTCACCTTTCTCATCGCTCGATGTAAACTCAAACGACTGCTTTCGCCAGATTCGAGTGCTCTTAGGAGCCCAACTTCCATCGAAAAATCCACTGAAGAAGTCACCAAGGCTTGCTCGGACGACCGCCGGTGATGCAGCCCTGTGCAAGGCGAATCTTCCTCCCGCGCGGCGAAGAGAACCCATGGCATGGGTGTCGCATCTTTGAGGAGGACGCTTCGCGTACATTAATGTTGAATAGGACTCCCTAAACAACTAATCGCCAAGTTGACCCTGGCAACAACCAATGGCCAAGCTAAGCCTGGCTGCAGATACCTATGTCAAAAGAATGAAACCAACGTAAATTCTGTCGGGATGAGTGTCGGGATGGCATTCTTGTTCATGACAGGCTAGCATGTTGCACGGCAGGGTTTCGTGCACTAACTTCCGCTAAAGGTTACTTTTTTGCCCTACCAGCCGCCTAGAGCCTGTCGTCAAGTTGCCTTTATCTTAACTTGTACTAGGAATTGACTCCATTACGAAGTTTACGATGCTCTTGACGTGCTAGAGACAGGTCTCAACGTTGACATGCGCCATGGCTGCTCCTTCAAACTTTACGCTAGATGACAGTGAAGAGGCTGACTTCGTTCCAACCCCGATGCTGAGCGTAGCGCCAGTTGCACCCATGCCTCAGCTGCTGCACCCGGTCCCGGATCCCTCAAGACCAGCACCTCCGACATTTACTTATCCACCGTTAGCAGTATCTCCAAGTTTTACGGGCATCCAGCTGCGTGATCCGCCCAAGTCGCATATTGATGCCGGCCTGGGTGTCAGCACCTTGGCGCAAGCCTCCCATGCACTGCAAGAGAATCAACAGCGCATTGAAGAAGCCGAAGCTCATCTACAGGTAGGTCAGGTGCATGTTCCGGTGAGGGCCGCAGCTTTGTTTTCGCTCTGTACCTTTGGACGAGACTTTTAACGGAATGCCTGTTGTTTGCAGGCTTTAATGCGTCAGCATGCCAGATTGGTAGCTGCAGGACGGCTGTTGGAGCAGCAGAAAGTCTTGGATGTCCTGACTACGGGTCCAGAGCTGGGCTACGATGCCGGACGGCCGGTGGCATCCCTGCTCGTATACAGGCATGTCCCCTCCCTCCCGCGCGATAAGGGCAGTCGTGGAGGGATTTCCCTTGCGATTGCAAAAAAGTGCGCCATAGGTCATAGACTCAAGCGGCCCACGCGGTGTGGCACAGTCGTAAAGATGAGCGATGAGATGAGGGTAAAATGGTAACGGATGACAGCAGCACGCGCGACGTTGACCTGCCGTCCCCTACTGAGTTGCACGCCCCACGCACGCCACATGCGCCAGGGAAGCAAAACTCGCACCCATCCATTCACCGTCCCCTCCATATGCCATAACATCCGCCCTTTCAAAGGGTCTTCGGACTTAGGTTGTTCTAGCACACCAAAAAGAGCATCATAGCTCAACACAACCGCAACCAACAGAACCCAGATCAAACGATAAGAACAGCACACACGCCAATCCGAATTAATTGCACCGGAGCGCCGCACCAGCCTAAAGCAATCCAACGATCTGACGCCGGTTGCCTGACGTACCCCACAGGTGCTGTTTGCGGTGGGGTTGCTTTACCGGGGACTCCCAAGCGAGCGCCATCCTGGACAACCTGAGTGCCCTGCTACTGGCCGCCACGGACGAGGACGCCATTCTTGCGCGCACCACGGCCTTGGCCAGGGCGCGAGTAGCGGGGACGGGAACCAGCAGCGGTGGAGGCGGGGAGGAGGGACGCTCCGGAACCATTTTGCCGTCGGTTTCGGAGGAGGAGGGAGCGCAGGTGGAACAGGTGGCGGTTGCAGCGGCCACGCGGGAGGTGGCATACTGGTGGGTTGTGGGCTGGGCGCTGCCGGGGCATGGCGGGGAGAGTTAGCGAAGTGGGGGGAGTTTAGCGAAGCTGGTTGCTTGAAGGAGAGGGGAGAGGGGATGTTCGCTCACGGTGGTGTGGAAGCGGTCAAACGGGACCTTGGCAGAAGCGAGGAGCCCGAGTGGGGATGCGATGATGATGATGGTTCCTGGCAGGCCGCTGGTGACGTCGGGAGTGGGTGGCGCTTGGAGAAGGGGCTGTGGAGGGAGTACAGCGCGTTTGATGGAGAGGGAAATTGCTCGGGCTTAATCAAATTTACCCTCGTCGTAGCTGACATGTAGTTTCCTTGCTTTTTGCTCATGATTCCCCACGATTTCCAGATCACGGTCCTGAGCGTTATGAGCCTCATCGCGCAGCCATTGAGAAATGGTCTGTGGCCTCGTTCACTGTCTGTCAAGCTGTCCGACATGTTTCCAGGTCGCCGCCACCTGCCACTGCTACTCCGCCTTGCCTGCCTAGTACCCGAAAATTTCCCGGCTTGCCAACACCCCCCTCTCTCACCTCGTCCCCAGGCTGGCGGTCACCTCCGTTCTATTGGCGCTGATAGATCCGCACCTGCCCGTCACCTGCCTGTCGAGGACAGCACCAGGGGCCGCGGCGGCCGACGGCGGCGCAGGGATTCACTTGCCCGCCCCGCTGGCGGTGGTGGCGGGCGACGCGCGGGCGTCCATGGCCCGGGCCGCCAGCGCCGCTGCCGCCAAAGTTCAGGAGCTTCAGAAGCGAATGGGCAACACCATCAGCGGCATGCAACTTTTGGGAAAGAATCTCCTCATGCGGAGGCGGGGTAAGGGAGGCGAGGGCGGCGCTGCGGCGCAACAGCCCTCGGGCGCTGTGAAGCCGGAGGGCGGTGACGTGGGTCATCTTGAGCAGGTTTTGGAGCAAGGAGCAGGGACGCAGGAACCGGAGGCCGCCGCGGCCGCAGGGGAGGTGCATGTCGAGGTAAGGGGTTGCTGCTGCACGGGCAGCACGCAAAGCCCGCCGTTTTGCTGAAAAGGGAAATGGGGTTTTGCTCTACAGTTTGGTCGAGTTGCGGGGAATTTTCGCTGAGCTCTCCTTGGGTGCGGATGTCCGTATCCGTATTTGTTTTGGGAGGGAGCTTGGAGCCGTACTTGAGGGTATGTGAGTCTTCATGGAAGGCGCTACAAAACGCACACCAAATCACCACCTGCTACAAGGCAGAAATTAAGGTCTTTCCTAGAAGCTTTTGGGGTTTAAAAACCTACGATGCTGAGTTTAAAGCGAAACCTGAAGTCAGCCTCCATCCGGTGCCCTGGGGTGTCTTCCCGGGGATGGATTCGCGCTGCGCGGCCTTATGCTCCGCACAGACCTCCCCCTCGACCATCACCATCAACGTCTCAGAAGGACCGGGGTCGCTGCCGCCTATGCCGGCCGGAAGTACCAGCACCATCAGAAGCTCCAGTCCGAGCGCCGGGGCCATGGAGCCCGCTGCGGGGCTGTCGGTCCGCTCGTCGTCTCCGGCGCCACCGCCCGTCACCGCCAGCGCTGCGTTGCATCCCGTCCAGGTGACCTTCCGCCAGCAGCTGGATTTCCTGGTGCAGAAAGCGTACGTGCAAATGCGCGATTCGCTCAAGCGCCACGTCAGTGCCGTACTGCCGGGTTGCGTGCAACAGCCCGTGTTGCCAAGCTCTCCATGGAACAGTCCAGCGAGGCGGGAGGGTCACCTGTCGGGCAGTGGTGCGACCGAGCAGCAGGAGGGCGCCGCCGGCGGCACTCGACCATCGTCAGGTGGGTGTGGTGAGCTTGGAGTGAAGGGGGGAGAGAAGGGACTATGGGGGGACGGGCGAATGGGGTCGGTAGGTGGGTGGGTGGGTGGTCGGTGCTCTCCAGACGGTAGGCGGCGTATGAGGCGAGCCGGGAGCCCGTCTGAAGGTTGGGGGCACTTGGGGGGTGTTGGGGGGCGTAGGGGCAGGTTTATGCGACGGGACGGCGGGGGCCCGGTTGGGATGATTGGCGAGAATTGCTCAACGGCGGGGCGCATGGCGCAGGACGGCGGCGGTGGCGGAGGGGGAGGGGGAGGGGCAGGGGCAGAGCAGTCGGGT